GAAAATTATAATATTTTTTTTATGTAATTTGAATTCTATTCTTGCTTTGATTTAATGCAATAGAAATGTTATTTTATTATATTATGAAGGGTAATGTTATTATTCAGTTTTTAATTATTGATTATTTTTTTGGGACATATACCGTCAGTAAAAGAAATAATTTTCTATGTTGATATGTAATTTTTTTTAATATGTATTTTCTAAATCGTAAATGGAAATCTTACATAAATATATATATTCTATTTAAGTTATGGCAACAAAAGTATTTTTAAAATAAAAATGATTATTATACAACTGTGTTGTTTTATTTGTGTTCTATCTACATATACGTCTTTTCAAACATTTTTATTATTATTTTCTATAATAAAACCAGTCGTAAGTGACCTTCAGTTGACACTGAGGGGATTTCACGGTGAGTGTCGTAGCATCGACACGTTTTGTTGGATATGTGCTCATTGTCTTTCTAAAACAATAAATACGTTACAGGCTACGTCTGTGAAATTATTATCCATGTCATTATAATGTAATATTATATAATATTTATGAGATGTAAACTATAACAACATATGGGACTTTAAACGTTTATGTTCTTATAATTACTAATGTATACTTAGAAAGAGGTAATTATATTAAACCTTCTTATACGACTTGGCTGTATAAAAACGTGTAACGCCAAAGTCGCCATTTCGTTTTATTTGTTTATTATAGTCAAAATGGCTGCATGTTTTTTTTCGAATTGTAATCGTCAAGATAGCTTTTTTGAATGAGTTATTTTTTTTAGGAAAAGTAATAACAAAACGCTACACAATTAATATTAATGAGTCATGAAAAATTTTGTTGTAAACAAAATAACTAAAGTATGGTAGTAAAATGAAAACTAAGAAAATCAACATAAGACATACATTGTGTCTTCATGAAATGTTAGATTGAACACATTATTGAGATTTATTTCCCGATGTCCTTTTCATTAGTTCGCTCAGGACGAAAATGTTAGATCAATTCGATTAAAATTCAATTATTTCTTTATTTATTTTTTGCTACAAACATACGTTACATATATTATACAGTTATACAGAAGAAAAAAAAATTTAATTTGTAGCAAGGGTGTCCATCTCAGTATAAGCTGTGCTAATGCACAGCATTGATTTTCACTGAATATTGGGTAAACAAAACACAAATGCAAACGAAAATCAATAAATGAAATTATAAGTAAAAAAATAAAACTAAAAAGCGCTTATCCTTGAGAAAAAAAACATATAACACAAAAAGAAAAACATCACATGGAATTTTGACATAAGATAGACAGACAGACAGACCTAGACAAGACATTAAAAATAAATATGATAAATACTAAGTCTATGAGGTAGTAGGACTGAAACTATGTATATTTGGAGGTTGGTACCTACTCCGACTTTTGTTGACGTGATAACGTCCTTAAAATTTAAAAGGGTTTAAATACTCTGCCACCAAGATATGGAATCTTGGTGGCAGAGTATTTAAACCCTCCCTTATATTGAGCCGATCTTTGAGCTGGTACATCTCTGCTGCACATCTCTAACCCCGTCCAGCTTATCGTAAGGGTACGTCGGCCTTTTCTTGAGAATAACTTTATGTACTAGACACGCAACATGTATTTTTCTTCGAGCTTCCATTTTTAATGTGTCTGTATCGTTAAGAAACGTGATTAATTATCAATATACGTGCATCCATTACACAGATGTTTAAGATAAACAATATATTGGCAGTATATTTTAAACATTACCTTATACAAATCACATAATTGCAAACGAAAAAGTACTAAATGGGAAATTTCAAAGATGCTCGTGATAGTGTTGTCTAACGATTACCGATTAATAGATGTGGAAGATAAACATGATAACGGCAATTGATTTTTATCAATTTATTTATAGAAATCATTAATCATACAGGTAAAAGTACCTACTGTATGGGAAATTCAAAGATGACAATCATTAAACAGTCATAAGTAGGGCCCGGATTAATATGTAAATACATATTTTTAATTTACGCGATTTTCGGTCTAGAGTGTGTTTTTTACATGCACTGTAATATTTAGACTGTGAAAAACCAACTTTTATTTTCAATATTTTACCATATTTCAAAGTTAAGTCCATATTTTACAAGAAAATGTCACAATCATCCATATATTCACAAAAATGCATAAAATTTACGTTCCTGCCACTAAGATTTTGGATAAAATAAAGGATTTAATACGCTAAAAAAAATTAACAAAATTCTGTGCGAAAATTTCGAGGGCTGCAGACGTGGCTTACACAATTACTGAATTAAGCATGTTTAAGTATACATCTATCACGTCAGTGACTTGAGATGAGACCAATCAGCAGATGTAATATATATTGACCAAATGGTCAGTTTACATTTTGATAATTTAAATTGTATTGCAACCAATTTGATAAGGCTAGTGTAATGGAAGTTGAATAAAACTGTTATTTTTTGTTGAAATAAATATTTCGCTACTTTTTCATCGTTTTTTAGATGTAACTTAACGATGTACGTCACGAGTGACCCTTTTCTTATAGTAAAACAATGTTTAATTATGAAAGTATTTAATTTTATACTCCATATTTTTTCCATATTTTAGATTGTTTTAATACATATTTATCCGGGCCCTAGTCATAAGAAATCACTTTTGTAACAATTCATTTTATCGTTATTTCAAAGAGGTTTATGTTCTTTATATTTTGTTTCTACAAGAAATATTTTCCTTAATTTACCCATTCACATATTCTAATTAAATATTATAAGCAAACAAAAAATGACGTATGGGTTGTTGTTGCCATTGTTATAGAAAAGAATAATATAAATATTGTGTCGAATTTTTAAACTAATGCCAATTTTTAAAATATATATCTGGTTAAAATAATTCGATTTATGTGTTAGTCTTAGGATATTTTAAATATTTCCTTCGTCGTTGTTTTATATTTGATGTTGTTAAGTAATACAAATATATAATGGCATATTAAATTATTAGATATTAAAGAAGTTAGATTTTTCAAATCGTTTCTTCATAGACACCATCGTTATTTCTTGACAAATATTTGGATAAATTGTTATACGAATTGTTCTATACAAACTGAAACACAAACATTTAATTTAAAATATTGTTTATGATTAATACTTATAATTGAGTACTTGAAAAACGAAGTTACATCGAAATCAAAGGTGGACACTTGAAATTTTATTTATATATATATAGATAATAATATTTACCGTAAGTGCTAAATGGGATAATACGCTATGATTAACTGTTTTATGAATAACAGTATCGAATACCACACTTAAACATCAATTCAACTGTTAGTGTGTTATAGTAGAATTTTATTGGTATTTACGTATGAAAAACATTATATTCAATAAGAATAAATTAATTATTATTTTTTACTTCATTAATATAAGTCGTAAATGAAAAGAAATTTACTTTAATGAGTGTAATCTGATGTACGAACATCGCCTTACGAACGTAGTCACATGACTGTACAAGGTGATGAAAAATGTATAGCGCTGTTACTCATTAACCTACATAATATAGTTATATATGTATTCTTAAATAAAAACTGCTACACAGATCATGCAATAAACTACCTGCGGATTTTTTTTTTTATTATTACCTGCAGAATCTTCGCGTGTCTTGTCATTATAGATTTTTTTTACTCCGTCAATGAAAATATGCTTGTATTCATTATGCCGGCATCATGTCAAAAATGAATAAATAATAATATAATTATTTCTCAATAATCATATAGTTTGACTGCTAAATATGTTATGAATAAAATAATTTTATCGTCAAATTCATCTCTGCAAGTATTCAGAACTTTTTTGGGCGCACCAGCCCAAAAATTTGAACCAGTCAAAACACATAATCTGTTACGTACATTATATTACAACCTACGCCATGTTGAAGTTGGTAACGATTTTTCGTTGCCAAAAATTCTGTCTTAAACATTCATACTCAACTTTTTTTAATTTTTGGTATAGGACCAACTCTATTTAATTCTCATTTTGCAAACATGATAATATATAAAGAAATTGTACCAGGAAATCGCTAGTTACAATAAAATAACGAGACTCGCTTATGAAAGACGATAAATATCTGCATTAGTTACAATTCTATTAATGAAAATGCAAATATAAATAATGAAGAACAATAAATGACCGTGGAGCGGCAGGTGTAATGCTAGAATAGTTTATTATTATAAGTATTATTCTGACATAGCCATCCCCCCTTTTTTTTGGTAAATAATATTAATATCCAAATACCAGGACTCCTAATGTTTAAGTTGATACGTAATTGGAGATCGAACTTTTATGACAGACTTTTTCTCGATTATGTAACTGAAATATTTGAAATGAAACTCAATTTTGAGCTTAAGTTTACATTGTTCGAATAAATGATTTTATGCGAAAATTTCTAAAGCTACTTAGTGCTTGTTTTTAAAATTCTCGAACATTTCTAAGAATAATTTTATGACGTATCCCAAAAAAAAAACTGAGCAGTAACTGAGTTTAAGATTCACGACTATGCACACATCGACGTCATGGCCGGCGTGTTCATTATTGTGTTAAAAAGAACTCAAAATGTAAAAACGATGTCCAATGAAGACTAGATCAGGCTTCGTGAACGGAACATTTCTATCTAAGTAACATAGCCAGCGATGGTCATTGATAATCACAATCGGTATTAAATTTACTTTTGGGTTTTGTGTTATACGTAATGACGTTTGCAAGAAAAACCGGCTGCGCATTGTGACCGCTGTTATTCAGCCAATGGCGCGCCGTGTTCGGGACACACCTCCGTGGGATTTATAATTGGAACGCTTGCGCGCGCATTCAGTCGCAGTATCGAGCGCCGGTACGTCAGTGTCGAGTGTTCACTTCAGTGTCAGGCAGACGGCAGTTGTCAGTGGACGACGGCGGCGGGTAAACGCGTGTGAACCGTGTGAACATTTCGCGGAGCTTTTAAAATGGCTCTGCTACGTCGGCTGGCTGTGAACGCGCCCCGTGGCGTCCGAGTTTTGTCCACGCCGCCACCGTCTCGCGACGAGCTAGATCTAACCTTCAACAGTCCGAGAGATGCGTTCAAGAGCAAGAAAACTAGCGAACTGGTCCGGGCGTACCTCGTATATCAAATATGTTCGATCAACTGGGTTGTCGAGAACAATGCTATGGTGAGTGAATCGATAGCCATGCAGCTCATGTCTTATATAACGTGGCCGGCTTTTTGTGGACGCTATGAAATTACTATAATTAACTGAGACGTTGGTCCTTGAATTCAATTCGGCAACGGTGACGAGTCGAATATCGAGATGTAGTTGTTTAAGACACCAGCCAGCACGTGCCTGCATGCGACCACCGACAGCGGTGGGTGTGCTTTATGTAACCTCGTGGCTTAAATTGGTTTAGTTTGAGAAAAAATGACAAGTTTTGCTTTAGACAGGTTACGTCACAGAACATCCGCAAGTTAATAGGATTTGGTTTCGTTACGTTCGGAATTTATCGCATCGTCTTGGGGCTATAAATTTAATGGCAATAAGTGTTTTATTGTAATCGATTCTCTCGGTTTTCCTGAATTACATTAATGAATGAAATAAATGCGTTTCACGATTACATAGACGCTACGACGCATGCGTTCACTGTTTCATAGGAATTCAACTACATGGGAAAAGGACACTTCAACTATGTAGTTATTCAAATATTAAATTATATAAAGAAATTGATTTTTTGCCTGGCTCGATACATTGTAGCGCATGCGCCGTTTTACTTTAGTATTATATGTTTAAGAACGTAATATTACGTAAATTATCCCTATTAAATGGAAGGACTTTCATTGAATGCCGCAAGCGTAGAGAATGAGTTCAGTTAATGAGTTCAGGTAATTAAGTTTAAGAAAACGACTAAATTAGTATACGTATGTATATTAAATCTTCAAAAAAAAAATCTTTGTTTTAACGATGTCGCTGTAACGGCGAACTATTTGAATATTTAACATAATGTACCATTAGCGATTCATTGTCTTCGCGCTTGTGTGACAAACACACAATGTGTTCGCTATGGGAATATTGGAATTATACACAAGAGTCGAGATAATATAAAAATATATTATTACGTAACACTCACGTGAAATCTAAGGTACATCGCCGACATAACGAATTACCTGACAATGTACGCTTTTTTCTAGTTTACTTTGGTTGTCAATGTCACATAACTAAATTTTAATGATGTATTTTTTTTTCTCCTAATGAGCTATTCTATGATTCACGACTTGGTGTTTAGTTCGAAAATATTTTTTATATGTTAAATTTTTTTTAAATTTTATTTATCCTTAATTAATAATTAGAATGCTTTAAGTTTTTTTGAGGATAATAAGTTGTTGAATTGTTGAATTTAGTGAGTAATTCAAATTTTCAGTTACGTCATTTTTTATATAGGGATGTACCAACGGAATAATTCGTAATAATAAGGATATATTTCATCATTATTATAAAATAATTGTCATTCCGTTCCGGAAAACGTGTAATGGTTTTTTGGTTTTTGAATCTACATATTTTTTCCTTATAAAATGCTATCTCATCATTAACAGTTTTCCTACAAGCGTTGTCCTTACGAATTTGGTTACCCCGTAGAATGAAAAATATTTTAATTCGTATATTTTAATACTTAAATAACCTTTTTAATAATGTTCTAAACATAGTTTCTTTTTACGAGAATCCATATATTATATACAAAGGTTATATATTGAAACTCATTATTGTCAGCCATTTTTTTTCTTTTTTTTTAATTGCGGTATCAGTTTTTTTTTATTCCAAAGAAGGCGAAGGAAGCCGTACAGTGTGCCGGTGTTAGCTCCGCTGGCATTTTTATCCGGATTTGTTAAGGTCAATGGATAGAAGCGATTCACTTACAGCACTAGTCCCCGAATATACAAACCAAGAAATATTAATATATATATATATATATATATAAAAATAAGTTCATAAAATTCTACTATCTATATGAACAGATACGAAACAATATATTATATGCAGCCACAGATTAAAAAATATATGAAAAAAAAAATAACCGGTGCATCAAACATTATTTATACTATACACGACCGGTTCTATTATATATTCTATCTTTATAATAAATCGAAAACAACAATATATAAAAAGTTTATTAAAAAAAGTATTTATATATTTTTTATCTAATGCAACTATTTATAAATTATCCATTAAAATATCAGGGAAAACACCACCGTATCTATATATAAATTGATGATAATCTATAGATTGATAGTATAATTATTATATCACTCATCTTTCATGTTTACATTGTTAATATTTGTATTAGATAACATTGTAATGGATACTTGATTTTTATTAACTATAGGACAGATAACAAAATATATAAAATTGAAATAAAAAATTTCGGGATGTATAATTTTGGACCTTTGACTGAAAAAAAAATTACAAAAAAACAAAAAGCGTTATCTCTTTGAATAAATATTAACTATTAGTAAATATGCTGATACTTACTTAATTCGGATTTTTATAAAAAAAAATTAAACCAAATATAAATGAATTGAGTTTTATTTGAACAATTAATAAATTGCTATCTTGTTTGGCTTTCATTTTATATTAAGACGAAATTTGACACCGTCGATTTAAGGCGTTTGTATTTAAACATCGATTTTTTTTATCGAATTAATTCCCCTAATACGATTACGTAATATAAGAAAACCAATCGATCTCTTTTCACACGAAGTTTGATCATTAATTCAATATAATTATCTATAAACCATTGTAATTATCATAATATTTGTTTATTACAAACGGAAAGTCTCAGAATGGTATGATTATAAAACAAACAATTGTCGAATTCAACCGATTCTAACAGGTTTAAATCATACATCTTCAGTTGTATGTAAATAAAACTGAAAGTCGTGATGCTACAATTCGAACGAATATAGACGATAATTGTTTTAACATATACAAACTTTTTGGTTGGTATCGAAAATCGTGTCTACAGAAAAAAAAAATTAGGCTGAATAAAATCGGATCTTCCACTGTTTAATCATTGAATAAAAAAAAATATTTAAATTTGAAATGAGAACTTAATTAGAGCGACTTTCGTTGGATGTATAAAAAGCGCGGTAGAACGGTATTCGTACTACATATATATAATTTTTTTTGCTATTTGCTAGTTCATTCACCTGACATACTAACAGATTTAGCGAATAGCCGGCCCGGGACGGTGGCCATTTTATAATTTTATTCTATTTAAATTTGAGCGTTCCATGTCGAAAAAACAAGGTTTCCTCAGAACTTACTAGATTTGAATCTGAAGCAAGCGTAGAAATGTTGTAGTCGCCAGACCTGTTCCTTATTTGTTTAGTTCATGTAATTTTCCATACATTAAAATTTTAACCAATCACAGCTAAGCGTCAATAAAAATTCGTTTGTATATCCAATGAAAAGACTTTAAAATTATATCATTATTTTCTTTGTAAAATCTTTGGACGTGTATGGAATATTCTGCGAGCATATCCCGGTTAAAATCCATTACTTCCGTTCTGATATAAGGAGGGTATAACCGTCAATGAACTTGGCTACCGGTTTACCAAACATTAAAAAATGACGCGAAGGGTTATTCAAAGGATCACAAAGAATATTCAATCTTAATACAAGATGTTAAAGTCGATTTCTGAATGTAGGTTCCAATTTAACCGCTAGCACAATGTAGCAGACATTGTTCGCCCGTCTGGTTTTTTATTGAAGTTCCACTAACATGAGAACTGTTAGGATAATGGTCGCTTGCGAATTTTATTAAAATCACTAGGAACGACTGGGAATTATAATTAATGTCGTTCTTCTGTATTGAACTGTAGCAAATATTTTGAACGACTTCCCAATCGTTACGGGTGATTTATTGATTTTCTTTTATTTCCGATATTTGTACTACGTAAATTTATTTTGCACGGGCGAATTTTTTTATTTATTTATGTCTTTGATTTTAAAGTTATTGCATTTATTTTTGTTGTTTCCAACCTTTATGCCTTTTCTATAATTAATTATACAATTTTCAGATTGTTAATTTTTATACAAATAATTTTTGTTATAAGATAATTATGGTAAAAGATTTAAAATAATAATTTGTCTGTTTGTTTGTATGAACGATTTGATCTCAAGAACTAATGTTTCGGATTATTTTGTGAGGAGAAGTCACAATGAATAAACATGAGCGAAACCGCGGGCACAGCTAGTATTTAATATGCGAGCTTAAAGATAAATTGAAGCGAATTGTTTTAAAAAATAAAACTACCAATTTCCGTCTGGTATTGCACTAGGGTTGGTCAAATTTTATTAAGTCGATGTGTATGTATGTATATTTGTTCCGAAACAATCCATGAATATATGTATTAATATTCGTCGAATATTTTATGGCAGTCTGGCACTTTTTTTGGCACTCGTGATGTCCATTCTTTTAGAAACAGCTCGGATGCCAAATATATGTTACGTAAGTACCGTGGCCATATCTTATTGTCTGCTCGGGATATTTTTAATTTCTACATGAAAGACTGGATCCTTGGGTGTGTTTGTTTGTCCCGAAAATTACTGAACGCATTTCTATAAAACTATCATCAAAGATATTTATAGTTCTTGTTTATGTTAAAAATGAAAAAAAAAACTGTTTCTAGTCAACTTTGTTTTTTATTTAGGAAGAAATGTTTATAATAATATAATAGTCATATTATATATAAATAGAATTATTATCCAGAAGCTACCTATATAATATTTTCTTTTACATCAGTATCGGCTTAAGTTAATACTTATATATTAATATTTTGTAAAATTTTTGTTTTATTTCGTTATTACATAGCTTCGATGGAAATATTTCTAGTAATTAATTAAATTGAATTGGCCCCTCATAGTATTTCGTAATGTTGGCCACGTATAGTACGCTTATCGCCATCGAAAGTGCTCCCGATATAGAAATACACTCATATGTATAATTATGTTTTATACGTCACTCATCGTGGGAATTAATTATATAAAAAAATATATTTTAATTTTGAGCTGTATGTTTTAAACCTCTGCCTCACTATATTATATGTAGAAAAAAAATCTAGGCTGTATGTTGTGAACCACTGCCTCATCATATATGCTGTGGATATTTTTTATCTGTGCATGAAATTAAATCTTAGTTATAAATCTAAGACGAAAATAATCTCTTATCGTCGTTATCAGTAAAGATTTTCGTATTAGTTACTACTGAAAGATATTCTATTGTAAACATTTGCATTTTGATAAAAGAGATTTGTCTTTTCTGACTACCGTCTGTCAATGGCTGTAATAAATTATTATTATGGATATATTAAAAATGCTATGATAATTAATTAATTATATAATTGGCGAATGTTCAATTTTACTATGCATATGTACACAGCGTTTTAACTACGATTGCAACTCGAATGCGAGTGTTTTTGTTCGTTCGAGAACTCGTACTAATGTTATGCTTAATTTTATATCTCACTAGCTGACCCGGCAGACTTCGTACTGCCTCAATCAAGAAATAAATTATGTCTTATTTATTTTTTTGGTGTTCACCTTTAAGCCATAAATCTCCGTGTTCTGAAGTGCGACAGAATGATTGACATATTAGTTAGTTGTCAAATCTAATGTCAAAAAAAACGTTTGTATGGGAAATAATAAAGCGCTGTTTTTAGGGTTTTCCCGGAAATTAATAAAAAAAATTTCAGCTTTTAAACCTTCCCTGAACCTCCACGAACATTTCAAGACTATGATAAGATAAATCCGTTCAGTCGTTCTCGAGTTTTAGCGAGACTAACAAACAGCAATTCATTTATATATATATCGAATGCGATTTATGTCAATTCGAGAACTCATAGTATAGTATAGTATAGTAATGTAATCGTGAGTTCTATATGTCCAGTTGATGAAGCGGCTCCGCCAGCTGGTCGGCCAGAGGCTGTTCGAAGCCATCATGAAGGCTACCTTCTACGGCCAGTTCGTGGCAGGCGAGGATCAAATCAAGATACAGCCGACACTCGACAGGTTTGGATCACTAAATTAGTTTATTACTAGTTTTTGACCGCGACTTCGTCCGCGTTAGTTTGGTCAAGAGTAATATATGTAGGTAGGTTTGTATGGGAAATAGAAAAGGGCTGTTTTTAGGGTTTTCCCAGCAATTATTCCAATTTTTCTAATTTTTTAAACCTTTCCTGGACTTCCAGGAGTATTTCAAGACTAAAATTAGCCAAATCGGTTCAGATGTTCTCGAGTTTTAGCGAGACTAAGGAACAGCAATCCATTTTTATATATATAGAGGACTTACGAAAATTAACCTAATCTGAATCTAGACTCACGTGATTTAATCACTCTAGATTTTATTTTATTTTTATTACATTTGACAGTTATGGTAAACGTCATTTTGACAGCTGTCATGGTTACAGAGTATTTTTTTTTTATTAATCGTTTTCTTCCAGGCTGCGGTCTTTCGGTGTGAAGCCGATCCTCGATTACTCTGTGGAGGAAGATCTCTCCCAAGAGGAGGCTGAGAAGCGCGAAGTGAGGTAATAGATGAGCTATGATTAGCTATAATATTGTTATTATCTTTAAGAAAATAGTTCGCATATGTCATAATTATTATTAATTGTCGCGTTAAATAAAAAATACTAATGACAGAACATACAATAGATATATCGGTTATATAAGTCGTAATTGTATTAACTATAAAATGTCTTTGAATTGTGTCAAATGAGTTTTTCAGTTGATTTTCTTGGTGACGTCACAGAGCGAGATAGCTATATGAATGTAATGAGATAGACCAGGACAGAGTTGACCTCATTTGAAATTTTCCCATTGTTCTCGTTCTAAAGCAAACCATCGTTTATTTGTGAATCATGAATAGCACCTATTTTCTATGCGATACGGTTGATATTTGCTTGACGTGGCACGTCGAAGAAAACCGTTTGATTTTTACAACGGAACGTTCGAGATTTATCGTCATTCGCTCTCTCGTCGGATTTAATTCTATTTTCGAAATTTGCTTTACTCTTCCTTTCATATTTTCCCTCCATTTTTTTTTCATTTAATCTTTTTTATAAAGTAAATGGATAATTTTCGTTAAAATAAAGGAATTATTACAGAAGCTGCGTAACAAGTACCCGGTTGTTGAAACGAACAAGGGACTTGCAGAATCTGGTCTTTGCTGGGTTTTATTTTTTCGTTACTTTTTAGTTTTTTTTTTACACGACATAGTTTAGATACAATGTTAGATTAGTTCATCGTAGTATAATTTTTTTTACCTAGGATTTAGTTTTAGCTTTCGTATTTTTATATACTGTGAGTTAATTAGAAAATTTATTTATTATCATAGTAACATAATATCGACCTTGGTGTAGACGTATAGGCTTGGTTGTTTTGCGGTTAATAGGCTAGAAAAAGAAAAAGATGTCGCGACCCACTTTCATATGAATTGTAATGATATGATACACCAATGATATGATAATGATATATCCTTGTATCGATTTTGTATAACATCAGTATGATTTTTTTACGAATTGAATGCAAAAACTACACGGAAAAACCTAATTACGGTACATGTTCTTTTATCATTGAAAATTTTATTTAAAATATAGTGTATTTTATTTATCTCTAAAATTAAAAATTGTTAAAATTCGTACATATTATTAACGAGATCGGATTTGTCGAAAACAAGTAGACTTTTTTCTGTCATTGGCAATTAATTACAAACAAAAACTCAAAAAAGACGTTAGACTACTTTAGACTTTAGTGACCGTTAATAAATTTTGAATCGTATTTACAAAAAAAATCGATTCATATTTCGAACTAAACACGACGCTATACTGTTAATGATAATCAATTATCTAGAATTCTAGAACATTATATTCAATTTGAGATATTAAAAAAAAATAATTCAAACCAATTCATCATAACAGTACCTACATATATATTTTAAAAAAAGAATTTAAACCAATATATCATAACAGTGCTTCGATATATACGTGGATATTTTAAAAAAAAGAATTCAAACCAATTCATCATGACAGTACTTAGATATTTAAAAAAAGAATTCAAACCAATTCATAATGACAGTGCCTCGATATTTTAAAAAAAGAATTCAAACCAATTCTTCATGACAATACTTAGATTTAAAAAAAGAATTTAATCCCATTCATCATAACAGTACTTGGATATTTAAAAAAAAAGAATTCAAACCAATTCATCATAACAGTGCTTCGATATTTTAAAAAAAGAATTTAATCCAATTCATAATGACAGTGCTTCGATATCTACGTGCGGGGACACTCAAGAGGAGGGTCAGCTGAAGCAGTACCACGTGGAGCAGAGGTTCGCTGATCGACGGTACAAGGTCACCAGCGCCAGGACATACTTCTACCTGAACGAGGCATCGTGCGAGAAGAACATGGAGGCGTTCATGAACAGCATCGACACAGTCGCCAGTTAGTAACCACAGATTATAAATATATTTTTAATCTGTGACTAATATGTAATTTTTTTTTTGTTCACGGTCCCGAGACAAAATTGATTTGTAACAGATTTTAATTACAGAAATACGATTTTTGATTAAGAATCTTTGTATGGATTTGTTCTTTCTTTATAGTAAAATATTAAGCTTATCATTTTACTATTAGATGTTGTAGGACCAACCATGTATGTAATTAGGTATCTTTATATAACATACGAAAAACCTTAACCTCGGAAACAAATCGTTACGAGACTTCAGTATCTATTTTCGTCGCTTATCTTAGTTTTAAATATGTCCGCTGATAAAGATTTCCTCTCAAATGTCAATGTTAGTGAGTGTGCCAAAAATTTAAACAAAAAAAATCTTTTCAGAAATAACCAAGAGCACTGGACTCATGGCCGTGAAACTAACAGCCCTCGGAAGACCACAATTACTTGTAAGTATATATGTATAACTTGACTAATAAAAATAAAGAAATTTAAATAAATCTAAAAATTAAAGAAAAAAGTTAAGGGTAGACTAAGGGTATGAAAAACAGAGGTTGACCGATTCTTAGACCTACTCAATATGCTCACAAAATTTCATGAGAATCGGTCAAGCCGTTTCGGAGGAGTACGGGAACAAACATTGTGACAAGAATTTTATAGAGGTATACGTCATATACATAAATTATACATGAAATTTGCAAACAAGGAAAATACAGACAAAATTAGTCCAAAAATAATACTTTATTCTTATTCCTCATGATAAAAATTTACAGTCATACACGATCGTCCTTAATAGTCATTAAAATACTAAACACTGTAATAATGTATGGAAAACAATGTGTATATTAATTTACAAAGTAGTTCATCATATTACAGTACATAAATACAATGAGAGATATACATACATATGTACAATGTATTGAAATAAAACTATTTCATTACTGAGCTTATCTAGTAATATGTTAAATGGCTCAAAATTGTATATAAACAACATATTACAAGCCAGATATAATTTTACACTATACGAAATACATGGCCTATGCAATTGCAAAAAAATTGCTATAATCAAAACGGTATGAGGAATATCATCGCAAATTATTTGGTACTATACAAAATTGATCACTAATATGGTCCAAAATAATTGCTTTAAAATATTTAAGGGAATTTCATATAATATTGACCTTTGACCCACAGCTCCAGCTGTCCGAGGTCATTATGCGCGCTCGAAGCTATATGCAACAGATAGCCGGTGGTACTGGGAACGTGCTAGCTCATCACAAAACCATAGAAGACCTTCAGAGATATCTCGGGGATTACAGCGCTAGGCCCGAAGTACAGGACTTCATGAACAAGGTCACCTCTGATAAGGAAGGGTGAGTAAATATATGTGAGGGTCTAGTTAAATTGGTCGTCCATACAGAATGTTAGATGAACTATTTTTATGATACCCACAAGCTAACCAATTGATGAAGGACTGTATATAGGTGCAAATGTTTTGATATTGGAAGTTCAATTTAGAGTGGGTAATTTATAAATTTGTACAAGTTCTTCTGATGGGGTCTATTTAAATTGGTCGTCCATACAGAATGTTAGATGAAGAACATCTTTTATGATACCTATAAGCTAACCAATTGATGAAGGACTGTAGATAGGTAAAATGTTTTGACGTTGGAAGTTCAATTTAGACTGGGTAATTCATCTCAAACTATAAACGTCGTAACTACCCTTCATTCAAATCGTCCAGATTTTTGGGGTAGCTTAATGACTTAAAAGTAGTTATTTCATAACAAAAGTTATACATATATAATATACGAATTTTCAAAAACAATTTTTGTATATGTTTGTATATTTGATAACGCTTATCATTGTTCGATGGATTGATAATCACTGAAGTTATCAAAAATAAACTCGTGAGAGCAGACATGTCTGGAAAATTTTACTTTCTTTGAAATCGCATATCTTTGGAAATAAGGATAAATACTAAGAAATTATTGATGGATGATATTTAAAAGGATTTATAAAACGAGTAGTTTGTTACACGACTTTGGATAAAATAATATATATATTGCTTACTTTCCGCCCGCAGCTTCGCCCGCGTGGAGTTGGTTATATCGTATTTCCAAGAGAGAACCTTTCAAAAGTCTGGTATAAAAACTATCCTATGTTCATTCTCAAGGTCAACTCTATCTCTGTACCAAATTTCATTAAAATCAGTTCAGTGGTTTAGGCGTGAAAGCGTAACAGACAGACAGAGTTACTTTCGCATTTATAATATTAGTAGGGATTTGTTTTTGTTTTTTTAATTTGAATACACTATCTGAACAAACATTATCGAGATGATGCATCTTATTTACATATCTACAGATAAATCGTATTATTAGTATACTTTTTATATTCAACGTCTTTTTGAACTTGACTTTTTCTAACGTGTTACTTTTTTTATATAAAAATAAGTTTAGTATGAAATATATCATTGATAATTACTGTAATGTAAGTAGTTTTACAGGGAAAAGCTAATCTCGTCAGCAATTGTCAGTAGTATATAAGAACTAAAAACTAACCTACGTTGATAGTTAATGAATAAAAAACTACGAACTACGTCTGTAGTGTGACAGTACCTACCAAATTGTCTGAGGATCAAGTGGTATACTACTACATTGAAAAGTATTCTTCATATACTATATAGGCATAGAAAAATTGTTTAATTTTTATACTAATGTAAATTCTTAAAACAATCTCTAACACGAAATTTCTTTCTCGGTCTATAAATATTTCGTAATTAGTTTTACAATTCAACCGTGTTATTATTTGTGCGTGTGAGTGTTTATTTTTAAAATACGCTGGGACATTATTCATATTACTGATTGACGTGGCTCTACAAAGCTGAGATATTCTAAGGTTATTTAAAAGATGTTTTATTATTAGTCATTTTTTGGACGTTTTTCTTCGTTAAGAATTAAAACGAGCGTTTAAGTTGGTGCGCGGCTTCAAATAGCTCTTTTGGTCTGAACACGTTAATTTTAGTAGCAGTATGTGGGTACTTAGAGATTCGTATATGTGTTTGTTTATGCTTCTGATGGATTCTTAGATAAGATCCTAGAAGAAGGATTAAAAAAAAATAATTAAAAGCTTACGTAACATCCGTTAATTAAGCTATATTTCTAGGATTTTTGATTATCCCAGTATCAAGTATTTTCCAATGACAAATTTTATACAATACGTGAAAGTAATTGACCATAATATGATTATACAATCATATAGGACATAAGAAATTAATGAGGTAGGCTCTAAATATGTAATATATATTAAAACTGATATATTTTTTCTAGTATCGTGCATCTGTTCCCGTGGTCGAACATTCTAGATAAGGACATGGGTTTGTCGGATTCATTCCGCGTGCCTGATCCTAAAACCGGTCAGATGCGGCGTCTCATCTCACAGATATCTCCGAAAGAGGAGGAGATGTTCAGGAACATGTTGCGGCGTCTCAACAATATCATACAAGTAGCCAACGAGCATGACGTAAGGATCATGATAGACGCCGAACAGACGTACTTCCAACCGGCCATCTCGAGGATCTGCCTCGAAATGATGAGGAGGTACAACAAGGTATGTTTTTTTAGTGACAGTTTTTTTTAAATATTTTGAATTTAGAATATTCGTCTATCTTATCAGCCAGTAATAAATAATATGATAAAGTAATAGATTATTATTAGAAAATTTCTTTCAATACTGTATTTAATTCAAGGTAATCCAAACAATCAAACATTCGGTTTAAGGAAAAATATTAATTTCTATCGTTTAATCACTGGGGACAATAGATGTATTTTTATTATTTAATCAAATAACAGCTTTTATTTTCGTACTTCTTTTTAATTATAACCAATTTTGTTACTATTTTTAATATATGACAGTCGTTTCGTCTTAGAAACGATTTTTTATGAACTTCATAACTTATTGACAATTTTTTGTCTATGGAATCCACATAATTTGAATCTAATATACCTTATAACCTTTTAGTAGCATAACATGTTTAATATAGAAAATTTAAAGTCCAATATTATTGTTTTCAGAACAAATTCCTCGTATTCAATACGTACCAGACCTATCTGAAGAACACGTACAACGAGATAGTCACTGACCTCGAACAGGCGCAGCGTCAGAACTTCTACTGGGGAGCCAAGTTGGTACGAGGGGCATACATAGAACAGGTAATAAAAAAACTACAAATAAAACTATTATATAGAGAAATAATAGTGAATATGTATGGATGTTTGTTACTCGTTCTACAATAAATTAGTTATCCTTTGTGTAATTGCTTTATATTAGACGTCAGAATAAAAGACGTGCTGCAAATCATCGAAAATTAGCATTTAGTTCCAGCGGAAAAAACATTAACATTTGTATATGAAGTCACGTGACAGAGTATAGATGTAGCTGAATCTTAGTTAGCATATCTATGGTTTTATCATACGATAGTTACTCTTTTAGACCAAAACTGTAGAATATCTACTCAGACAAAGTCGCAAGCAAAACCAAGTTTATAAAATACACAAGTAAAAGACCTAAGACCTGCAACAGTACGCTGATTCTTGATTAGTACGCATTGCTATATTACTATATACCCTATTTAAATATATGCAGGATATTTTATTAAGTGTCCTTAAGGAAAATTTGGGGATTTAATAATAATAATAAAATATCTACTAAATCCAAGTTTTCTTCATAATGTAGTTGTTAATAACATTGTGTTTATCTCAGGAACGTGCCCGTTCAGCCGCTATGGGCTATGAGGATCCCACTTGTGAGAGCGTCGACGCTACGACAGCATCCTTCCACCGCTGTCTCAAGGAAATACTCAGCCGGGTTAAGGTCAGTTCTGATGTAGATTTGGCAGATTTGAAGGGGTCTATAGCTTTGAAGATTTGGCAGATTTGAAGGGTCTATAGCTATGATGACTTGGCAGATTTGAAGGGTCTATAGCTCTGATGATTTGGCAGATTTGAATGGATCCATAGCTTTCATGATTTGGCAGATTTATGGTTGAATAGATTTGATTAATTCAGTGGATCAGAAGCTTGTAAATATTTGAAGGTCTAGGAAGTTCTATAGTGTAGAAGATTTACCAGATTTATAACAAAATTTACCCATATAACTAACACTTTCGCGTGTTAAATGAACCTAATATTTTTCGGATTTACTACACGTATTTTATTATTATGCTTTGCTGTAATTTTCATGAACTGTGATCACGGTTGCTGTAAAGTAAGCGAAACGTCGGGAGGATGTTGTTTTTAAAATAATAAAAAAGCGTAGTAAAATCCGAAAAATATTAGTTTCATTTACCTATATTAATAAAAAAATACCCGTCTTCGTGTCAATGAAATGGTATTATTGTAATGTTTCTCTTAATAAAGAACTTAGTTACATAACACTTGATATCAAATGACCAGCCCTTTCAAACCACCAACAATGTTTGGTATGTGTGTAAACAGTCCAACAATTATTGTATTGTTACTTCAAAATAATATTCTCCCTTACAATATTAATGTATAAAAATAGTTTGTATAGCAAGTAGAGAATATTATATAGAGAACAATCTGAGCAATTTTCTATCATAATATTTTTCTGTTCTTAAGACTAATCCTACTAATATTATAATTGCGAAAGTTTGTGAGTGTATGTGTGTGTTTGTTACTTCTTTACGCTCAAACGGCTGAACCGATTTTGATAAAAAATTGTATATAGGAAGCTGACGTTCAGGATTAACATATAGGCTACTTTACAACCAGGAAATCCGCGGTTAACACCGCAGGGCGCAGCTAGTATTATAATTTATTATGATATTAATATAATTAATGAATGTTTCAGAACGAGCAGAACGATCGTCTCGGTATAATGGTTGCTTCTCACAATGAGGACACTGTTCGTTATGCCATCCAGTTAATGAAGGAACATGGCATCGGACCTGGTGATAAGGTTGTCTGCTTCGGACAACTACTGGGCATGTGTGATCACATCACATTCCCATTGGGTGAGTTGGATATAAATTATTAAATATTTATATATACTGAAGTTATGTTTTCATATATAAAAATTTGTTCAATCAAAACCAAGTTATATATACCAATAAAAAATCTCGGAGGATATTTGTGCGTCGGCCTCCAGACCAAACATATTTTTATATTGGCATATTTTAAAGCGCGTTGTAATGATATAGCTTACGGTGCCTTGAGAAACCAACAACCCCAAAGAGCATACCATCAAGGGTAATAAATATTACGAGCTCACACTAACGAACTCACTCGAAATAGGTACGACGTGGATTTGTAAATGGTATAAGTGGGAGCGAGAGGTATAACAGCTAAATCTCTCTATAACCTACTAAAACACTTGGGCCTGTCCAGAACTCACATTAATTCATTCTTGGAACGTACGTCAAAGGCAGCCCTAGTAGGTTTTTTTTTCAAATTTGGTTAGGAGAGAGGAGCTTGGACAGTGGATTGGATGCTAAGATATTTCGTCTTAAATAGGTAGAAAAATTTTGAAGATTTAGTAAGATATTCTGTATTGTAATGATTAATTAGACAGAAGGTGGATAACATGTATGTATATATAATATTTTAAACTCATATATATGTATATATATTTCCAGGTCAAGCAGGTTATTCGGCTTACAAGTATGTTCCCTACGGTCCCGTGTTGGAAGTCCTGCCATACCTGTCCCGTAGAGCTAATGAGAACAGAGGCTTCCTCCAGAAGATCAAGAAGGAAAAGGGTCTGCTCCTCAAAGAGATATTCCGTAGAATGTTCAGCGGACAGCTGTTCTACAAACCATCCGGAAACTATACACCGGTTTAAGGTTCAGTCTCGATGCTATTTAAATATATTTTTCGTTGTTATTAAGCTACCGTTTCCTGTTTGAAAAGAAAATATAATGTGAAATAATATATTATAATGATGTTGATTTTTTTGAAGTTGAAACGGTGGTTTAAGTTCTGTATATATTTGTATCTGGATGATAGTTTGGGCGAAGCTTGTAGACATTGAAATAACGTCCTCACAGTATTGATTTATGATATTCGCGATGTATTTATTACACTAGTCGTAATGTATGTGTTTTTTATTTTATTAAACGTTCATTTTTGTATTGATTTATTAAAATGCGACCGTTTTTAATAATTTTTTTCTCTGATTTTTTTTTATATATACATATATATTATATTGGACATTATTTTATATATATTATAGTCTTTGGCTTTGAGTAACATCTATATAAATGTTTTGTCGTGTCCATCAGTTTTAATTCTGTATTATACGATATATTTGCATGTTTAAAATGAAAAATAATAAAAAGTTAATGAAACCTACGACCTTGCATACAAGGAGGCAAACATCTCAGGAATGTTATCTCAATAGAGAGCCTAAAATAATATAAACCAACTACGGTGAAAAAAAAATATGGGAAAAAATGGCAACCCAGGTGAAGTTCGTAAATATATTGCCGATTTTTACTTCAAGTAGCAACACTAGTTCATTTTCTCTGTAATTAGACTTTTTCTTTAATGTTTCATGTCTCACTTTTCTTATTTTGTTAACGCGGTGAAAGGTTTCATACCTACCCCCTCCGTCTAGGGGAGTCGGAGGCTGTTAGGTGGGACTCACGGGTCAGAAGGGCCCATGTTACCCACTAAAGCAACAGCGTTCACTTTCCATTGCCGCCAAGTGGATCGCCACGGGAATCGCCGAAGGATACATCCGCGACGATTCGACGGCGGGACGCGAACGGCCACCTCCCCCCCGAGGGCTCACTCCAAGTGACCAAGACGTCTCTCCACCTGGGGGGCTTGATTAATCGTAAGATGGTTAACCCCTTACCCCTCCCACCCAAGCCCACGCGGCCAGTCTCCAAGCGCCCGACGGCAGACAGAGAGGAAACCGAACGACCACAAGCGAACTCAGGCCTCCGGAGAGACTCGAGTTTCCCCTCTCCCCCAAGACAGTCACAAGGAGGTCAATGCCCCCCCTCCCTCGTGACTGATTGCACTAGAATACACCGGTGGGCGATGGGGTCGTCACGTCCCGACACCGGAATTTTTTTCTTTTTTTTCTAATCCCCCCTTAATTGATGTTATTATAATTATCTATTCCGCTTCATTAATTTTACACTTGTCTCCATTTCTTCGTCTTTCACATTGCTAATACGGTTTATATTTAATAAATCGTCCTCTAGCTTGCTTATAAATGAAGACTTGTTCTAATTTCTCAATTATTTCAACTTTTACTCGTACGAATCTTTTCACTCTCTGTTAGCTCAATATGTTTTTTAATTGTTGAAATCAACCTTGTGTCCGTCGAATAAAAAATGAAAATGTGCAATATTTAATATGATATAGTGCAATTGATATGTATAAAAAGATAATAATATTGTTCTAATGATATCTTTATAGTTAATAATGTTTCATGTTGTTCCTGTGCTTGTCAAATCGTCTGTTGATGTTTGATCTTGTCTACTATATGGGTTTGTAGTGAATTTACATTCAGACAAAACAATATATATATATGAAAAATACAGCTCAGTTAGTGACTCGTTTAATGTCGGAAATTTCATTTATGCTCAATAAGTGGTCGAATTAAACAAAATGGAGTGTTTTGATTAAGTTCCTACTTAAATAATATAGCAAAGTAACAAGTGACTGTTATTTTACCTTGTATGCTTGGTAGATAAGCTTAGCCTTATGCTGCGTTTCCGTTTGAGCTGTGCGAGGTGTAATTTAATAGTTTTATATAAATTAATTAAATTATTCCTATTGCGTTTTAAACGAGCCTCGCTAGATCGCGTCGTCGGAACGGCGGTTAATGTTCTGTTGCAAACTACTTTTATTTTTTCTTTTATTTGTGTTTATTTTTTAAGCGAATTACTACATCTGCGCTAATAATAATTGTGATGCTAATTTAGATAATTTTACGAATAGACATTTTAATAAAGACAACGTTTTGAATTTTTTTTTTCGTTTTTTTTTATTTCTATTCTTTCTATGATTTCACCTTTATCGTACACAGACAATAAAATATTTAAGTATTTTATACATGATCGTCACGGCGGAGTAATATATACAGATTTTAACACCACTATATATTAAGTATTGTTAAAGAAATAGTATTGATTAAAGTAGAATCGCTTGAAATTAGTTAACATATATGAGAATTTAATGTGAAGTTTAAACGTCAGATCTGTCAACGGGATTTGGCGGCAAATGGTGTTTAAATGTCAGAAATATATTTGACATCACTTCAGATTTGAGTGCATATAATAATAATCGGTAGTGAGACAATAATGTGTGTTAACAGACAACATTAGTTAGTTATAATTGTTCTTTATAGAATTTCGCGCCTTTTCTATAGGTTAGGTTATCCTGCTTTATAGTTGTAGGTTTTTTTTGAATGTTGTTTAAATAAGTGATGTCTGTTGTTTGACGGTTAACGATTTACGGTTTTTTGAGAAATTTTGAAATCGGTGATGTTTATAACGAAATTTATTTATTTAATATTCTATTTATTATGTTCGATGACGTTTAAGTGATTTTTATTCAGTTTAAATTGTATCGAGTATATGAATTTAACGTTTTTGTTAGATATATAGAATGATTGATATTATATTTTATACCAGTGATAGGAAAGGTAACATGAAATGTAAAAGCACTTAGGGCTTAATAAAGTGATGTGTTAATGTTGACAGATGGTTTTATTTATCACTTCTTATATTTATTTGTCTATAATACAAAGATATAAGATATTACAAAGCATATAATGAAAATGAGATCTTAACGAATGTTGCCTTTGTTTTTGTATATATATTTTTAGGGCTCTTAATACGAGTCCTTTTGAACCTTATAAATTATCATTTCCTATGTATGACACTTCGTTTAAAAAAGTACACTGAGAATCCGTTATTGTACGCAACTAAGCTTATACATAATATACAATATTGTTATATAATACTGTATGCGAATATATTATATGTTAGAATTTTATAAGAAGCGTTACTTTGTTGAAGCCTTCTCATTTTATAACAATTAAATTTAGTACAATTAAAAATAACTATTTATTATAATTGAATATTAAAAAGTGAATATTAAGTCAGTTTAAAAATGCTTCTTGAAGTGATTAATAGCAAAAAAATTAATTTAATCTGTTTTGTATGAAGTATACAAAGTAACTTAATAATATCTAAATCATTTTAAACAAATTATGTAATTGTACATTTTTCTTAATTATAATATGAGTAATCAAATATTACATAGTCTACTGATAGTCATTGCAGTAATACTGCCAGTTACAATGTATTAAATAATTACTATATTATTATTATTTTTAATTCAGTTTTTCTTAATATTACATGTATATTTGAGAATATTTTTGTCAAAATTCAATTTAAGTTAAGAACGTGTGTGTCATATAGTAAGTTTGAAAAGTAAATTGTTTATGTATATAGGTTTTTGTCGAGAAACTAAAATTCGTAACAAACTGAATTAAAGTTCCTACGATTTCCGCTAGATGGCGTTATTGACAAAAAATTTGGTGGCAAAATGATTCTCGAAATTCTGTAAACTAATTTGGTAATTAAAAGCACCTTAAACTATATTACGTTTTTAGGATAAGTTATAAGTACACTAAAATATATCGTCACTGCACATGGCACGTGCTAACGTAGGTTATTGAATGAGAACTTGTACTTGTACTTTGTAGTATGACGATGCAGATTTGTAGTAAACATACAAAACTAAAACGCATTCAAGAGCGATTAATAAATAAAATAAAATATTTTTTAATATAATTTAGTTCTTGTATGTTTTTTATAACATAAATTGGTAAACCGTTTGTATGTAAACTAATTTTATACATTTCTTTACTTTTTTTACATTGACTTAATACTCTTTATTAAGTTTCTGTGAATATATTAACTACACCTCATTTTGTGTTGTAAAATAGACATCACATGTACCTATTCTAATAAAAATGGGCGAACTTATAAAAATACAGTTGTATTTTAAAAACATTGTATTTGACAATAATTGAATACTTTATATGTATGAAATATTTAATTCTTATTAGCTAAAATTTCTAAAAATCATAATATAAATACAGTTTTACAAATTTCCATTCATTTGTGTTGATATGTTGTATGACGATTAATAACGAAGACCTGGAAAATGCCAGGATTCAGCTGGAAGATGAAGCCAGTAAGGACGGTAAGATCCAGAAGTTCTAGGAGAACTACGATTTGAAGATTATAGACAAAATTAAAATCATTACCTAAGTTTACAAGACTAAAGTTGGATAATGATGACGTCATTCATCTGACGTGCATAAATGTGTGTAAACTATAAACTAATACGTCTCCAGTTTGGTTATTGAAACTCGTAGTAAACGATTCATTAAGATCAATAGTGTATCAATGCATGCTTCAATGACACGTTATCGCGTACGAAATAAACAATTAATTATATACAGGGTGACTGGTGAATTACTATCAATATTTAAGGAGCATACTCAGTACATGATTCTCATTCGAATTATGTATAAAAAATAGGTACTTAATTTTTGTCCAAATTTCCGTATAAATAAATAAAGTGTGTACATGTTCCAAGTGTTCCAAGTGTGGACGCGTGCGGTGGCGTGCTGATACAACACATCGCCGCCACGCGCGAGTGTGTGTGTGTGTGTATACCTAATCTGTAGGGTGTTCATACGATGCGTAATTAATTACATAACTTTTGGTTAACTTTACTTAGAAGTTTATTAATATTTATGTTATATTAATTTTTATTTTGTCATATATGATCGTCAAATATCACGTCCTCAAATATCGATAGTAATTCACCAGTCACCCTGTATATCTATAGATTGATTTAATATAACAAAAACTTACAAGTTATGCAATATATATATATATTAAAAACAATAGTTTTATTAGCATTATTTATTTATAGAATGTCGAACTTCTTTATGAACCTAATTTTATTCTGACAAGCGTCATTCTAATATGTTTTTCTATTTACGCTACGAATAATATTTTTGTTTTATAAATGATTGTATTTAATTATATGTATTTTAATTTAATGCTACATGATTAGAGACACGAGTATATTTCGTTGTGGACGTCAATTAACAAAAATTACCAGTCATTGTTTACTGTAATATTGTTTATAAAGTAAACTGATATAATACATATATCCCTACTAATATTATAAATGCGAAAGTAACTTTGCCTGTCTTCCTGTCTATCTGTTACGCTTTTACGCCTAAACCAGTGAACTGATTTTAATGAAATTTGGTACAGATATAGAGTTGACCTAGAGAAAGAACATAGGATAGTTTTTATCCCAGACTTTTGAAAGGTTCTCGTGGAAACGCGATATAACCGAACTCCACGCGGGCGAAGCTGCAGGCGAAAAGCTAGTATATGTATAAAATTTGTTCTTATTAATTTGAATATTGATTTCATGCTATGACTTTCGCCTTACTCGGAGTTTTAACGTTACACGTGGAAATATTGCTTTGTTTTACAAAAATACATATTGTCTAGTTGTTATCACCGTTCGTCTTAATTATATACGTTTCTTTATAAGGAATTTGTAAATTGTATTATAATCCTACATTATTATTTAGATCAATTTTCTATGATATATCAGAAATAAATTAGAACTGCCTCGCACTCCGCGTGGCTGTAATTTTGTGCCACGACACTACTACAAAGTGTTCTGTTAAAGAATTTGTTTCATTTAAATCACCAAATTGAATAACGTGTCTTATTTTATTTAAAATTGTTCATATTTAAATAAAATTATGCCTTTTTAGTCGTTTGTTACTTAGTACGTAGGTACATAAAAATTTTGTGTTATGTACTTAATAGTTTTGAAACATGCGTCGTTTAGTACGAGAGTAAGTAAGTATATGTATTTATTCTAAGTAGGCATCTTTACTACATACGGGTCTTTCAGTTTTAATTCATAATTTTCATACATTATAGTATTAAGTAAGAGTATTGAGTATGCAACGTAAAACGTGAGCATTGTAATTAAAAGTTTTGGACTATTCGTAAAGTGAACATAAAGATATATAAATAATGACTGATAATGATCTTGACTTAAACAATATTAAAAGTTATAAATTAAATAATATCAAAAGTATTTTGAGATATCGTACAATGACAAAATAAACATTTATTCATATAACGAGGTTATTATATTGTTTTATGAATATCTCTTCTATAATTTTACCTAAATAACATATTTTTTACCTTTACCTGTTTTAGATTTATCAAAAACTACTTAAATATTTTTTTTGATCTTTTTTTTTAATAAATAAGTAGCAGGTTTGAGAAGTTTTGAAGAATATTTCCTGAAGAAGAATACGGAATCTATGCAGATAGAAGAATCTTTGTTAATTTGAATTAATTTGTCAAAGATTTTTTTTTATTACAACGTTCGTAAATAGAATTAACCTTAAGGCTTATTACCTGGAATAGTTAAAACTTAACTTAAAATTAGTTCACACATGATTTATAATTATTTATGTATATCTCTCATACAAAGTTTTCAATTCACAGCGGACGAACCAGCAGGTAAAAGTTGGCGATTATAAACCACCTTTGATGCTATGTTTAAAAATTCCTGGTTATTTAAAAGATATTAAAATAAAAGCTTTAGAAATCATTCTGAATGAAACAAACAGGTTCAGTCAAAAAGTTATTTCGAACCATCAATGTGAATTTAATAATTAAAATTTTTATCAAATTTAATAAATCCATACATTTTATTTGTCCTTTAAAGATTTTACTGTCATACGTGATCCACTTATTTGTGTAATCGTATGAAAACAATGGCTATAATATTTGTTTAAAAGACCTGATACTTTTATTCTGCTGGACGTAAATTTACTAAACATAGCCAAAAAATGTACGTTTCAAATAAAAACCTCATCGAAATAGGTGGATCCCTTAAAGAGCTATAATGCCATAGACAGATATACAACACATTCATACAAACATACACACACACACACGTGTGTGTACACACACGCACACCCAAACTTATAACGCTCATATTTTCTTTGTGGGTTTCAAAGGGAAATTAAAGGATCTATATTAACCAAAAGTTGCAATAAAACGACAGAACCTTTTTCGCAAGATATGCATCATGAAACTACATGCTTTATGTACTAAATCATAATTAAAACGTGGAAACTATTCGTATGTAGTTTACGATGCACACTTGTGGTATAACTGTATTGCATTCGTCGAGGTAATATTTAATCTTCAAGTTTCGACAGGTAAATAACTGGACATTACATTTTTCAAAAGTTTTTTACTGTTTTATTTCCTCAAGGGCCATTTATATCATTTGTACATGGATTTCTTAAATTATTTGAATAAATTTATCATTATAAATAAACATTCATTTATTAAATACAAGTCATTTTTGTCGTCCGGAACATTTGTGGGGAAAAAATTTCACAAGATTAAGTACATTGAGAAGTGACGTATCCACTTTTATTCAGTCATGTATAATTAGGTATGCGATAGATTTTTTTTAACAAATAGTTTTAGTCTATATAATATGTATCCTATTTACTAACAAACATTTATTAATTTTTTTTTTATTAATCTTCTATAACACATACGTTACTGACCCAGATTTTAACATTTACCGAGTTGAATAAATAAAATATATATTTTCTTTATTCAATAAATCTCCATTAAAATGTTACATCAAATTGACATTCACTATTACGGATGGGTAAATAGATTCAATAAACTAACATTATTAATTATAACAATTATTTTAATATAAACATTTAGTATATCATGTAAGTGTATGTTAAATTCTTCAGAAAGAGTACATCTACATATAAAATAAAAACACATATATCATGAACATCAGGGGGAAACTTACGCATTATATAGTTCACAGCTCGACAGACAGTCCCTCGTAGAAGGGGAAGAGAATAGATATAGCTTATCATATTTAACTGATTACGTGGCAGGCGACGATCGTCCTGTGTGGGACATTGGCCGCCGCCTGTCGCCGCTAGGAGCGATGGCGCTCCGAACGACGAACTCGCAGCTCCAAAGTACCGTGCGATGCCAGGGCCGATGCTAGAGATAGAGCCAGAACTGCCAGCTGTGTCTTGACGCAGAGGAACGTCCTCGCAGCACATGCCAGAGCCAGACCTGTGTGACGAGCGGCCAGGGTCGCTGACCAAGGACCTCGCCATCCACCACCACCCACACAGATACCCGCCTGGTTGAAAGTTCCATTTTATTCATAGGCAATAAATTCGAAAACTGAAATTATCTAGGCGTTGTAACAGAGAAAGGTAAAGGAGAATATGTGTTTATTTACCTGTAAGACGTCCCAAAGAGCGGCACAGGCGCCCCAAGCTGCTGCGGCGACTGCTGGTAAAGCCAAGTCACTTCTGGCTGCTCGCCAGCGAAGTAAGGCAAGGAGCAGCGAAGCATGTGCTGCTGCCCCACCCGCGGTTAGGGCTCCCCGTCGGCCTCGTGCTGCTGCCATACTGAGAGTAGCGGCAGCTAGCGCCTGCAGGGCTCCAGCCCCGAAGAGTGCACGGAATGCACCGGACCAGCCTCCCACACAGACGCCGTACCACTTTATAGAATTGAACACAAAGTTAATAGACCTATTCATAACAAGGTACCTTAATCTGAAGATAATTTGAATAAACAAAACGTTACTGTATGCGTATTGAACGTTAAACTTATGGTGAGATAGTATTTCCTGGTGCATATAACGTAGCAAAGACTGTAAGTATCCTAGGATAATATTCTTTGTAATCCTTTGAATATGTTTTAATTAATCGATGCCATAACGGCGAGAAATAAAATTATTGTCATAATTGAAATGGGACTTTTATTTTTGATGTCGTTTGAATAAGGCTATCTGCAGTACCTTATAGGAATTATTCTTAACATATTGTGAAATATGAAATGATTTTAGGGTTTTAACATCTTAACATTCCATATCCTAAAGAAATATTATTGATTTTTGTTTTATTACTTAATTTATTATCCATATTTTTAAAACTGTTGACATACATAGGTTCTTTGAAAACCTAGATTAGCCATAAGTTCTGTTACTAATGATAATGCATTTTTTAATCGTAGATGATTAAAATTTCTAATCGAACTCGACATCTTTAGCCTTTATGAGGACTTTAATCTATATGATTACAAATTTATGAAGTCATGCTCTGTTTCCAAGGGAAAGTTCGACACTGCTTGCTCCAGAGATTATCGCATGTTACCGTGTCGCTAAAACAAGGTCTTATCCTCTAAAACTAACCATAATTTCAAGTATAAAGTGTTGAGGTCTTGGCTAGATGACAAGTTTTTAGCTCTTATAAGCCCCGGGAAAGATGGTTTCATGTCAGCTTTCGATAGTTCTCGATTTGTGACTAGGTGCAGAGTCCAGAGAGAAGTCCACGATAGTTTTTTAAAAAGTATATTCCTTTGAGGTTTCACATGTTACAAGACTGTTCTGATACATTTGGCTGAATTTTGTTTTTCGATTACTTGATAGGATGCCATCAAAACCCTTACTGACTCATGATGATTGTTGTTGACCACATTGTACCTTTCTATCTACTTAAGCAGCTTCTTTAGAACTGTGTGCGTACACTTTATCATTTGTTTTACTGTAGTGGTCTTCAATCGTGAGAATTTTCTCATAGGTAAAGATGATATTTCTGTGATTTCCCCAGCACATCAACGATAATCATCAAAATTCAGGTATTATTTTGTGATACAAGCCAGAATCCTAGCGGAAAATCTTCATTTCTCGCGATAATATTTTCAATGCCTAATAAGATTTCTATGAATTCTGGCTTTATACTTGTAAAGCCTTCATAGCTTCAATAGCACGAGGCTTCCGAGAACTTATCTGGACTTCGACAAATGAAGGGATGACAGACAATAGCTTTTATAGTAAGTATCTGGAATACGAGCGACGGTTCTATATCAAGCGTTCCATATCTGTCTAAAGCGAACACTGTAATACTGTTTTCTTTAACATGCTATTCCATATTATAATTTAACAATGAACAGGAATAATGTTTGAAATGGCGCCAAATCAAATTTGTTTAAAAAATAATTATAATGTTTGAAAAAAAAAAGAAAATGTTTTCATGTAGCAGTAATTATGACCAAACTAGTTATTTGTCTAATTTTATGGAGCATTTTGTTATTAAATCTTATTCTTTTAAAAACAGGCACACCTTATTTCGTCCGTCACTACTTAATATTAAAAATTTATATAATATGTTTTCAATAAACATATTTACGTACCTTAATATAAGAAGTATAAATAAATCCCTGTTGAAGACCGATGAATAGACCCATCGGGGTGCCAAGTAACGTCCGAGGGTCCCTGAGCACTGATCGTGCATCAGGAGGTGGGGCCGGTGCTGAGGCAGCTCCGAAGAGGCCCAGGAATGAGGCCAATAGTGCAAGAGTAGCCCACAGTGCGACTAGCACCCTGCGGCCCATAGCGTTTAGCGACGAACCCAAGAGAAACTGCATTCCAGGACAGCCAGCTGAACCACAAGTTCTTTCCTAGAATTTTTTCTTTGGTTATTCCTCACTGTCATAATATTTGCGACTAGTGATAGAAGCAATTAAATAAATACCTCGTAGTCCTCATCGGAATAGTATTCTTCCGCTGAAGGATAGTACTGGTATGTCGTGTTTGTATCGGTCATATTTATTGGTATTTCTTGGGAGTGATTTTCAGGCCAAATTACAAGAGCTCCTCCTAGCATCAATGATCCACAAACTAACCCTAAATCCTGTGCGGCCCTGAGAGCTCTTAGCGCCCTCCGCAGGGCTATCTTTCTTTTTATTTCATCGCCGGCGGTTTGTGCCAACGATGTCGCTGACGCCGACAGAGCTAGCGACATCGGAGACAGTGAGACCCCACAAATGGCGTAAAGAGGCAGCAGTATCGCTAGCGGAGTTGCGATCGTGTGAGCAATAAGTAGTATACAGATAAGAATATGCGCCACGGTAACAACTATACGTGTTCCCGTCTTTTGGAGGATGAGAGGTGAGAATGGAGCAACAATCGCGGCTACCATATGCATGATCGCCAAAGGCACAGCACCTGCCTCTGCGCCTGCGAATGCTGTGAAAGGCAGAAGAGCCGTTGAACAGAGGCCACTGGCTATGCAGAGAAGCATGAACCGTCTGATGACTGGCTTTGGAAGTTTTGGGGGTTGTCTTGTTATAAGGCGACGGATAGACGCCGCTCCTACTGATGAAGCGGCTGACTCCCGTCGACCCCGCGGCGGAGCGACGGGGAGTTTGACCGGTGTTTTCGTCTTCCTCCAAGGCCATTCTTTCTTGTATATCGTATTTACAGGTATCTGAAACGTGTGATGCATTAGTATCGAGGCAAGTCGTGTGATACAGTATGTTATGTGATATGTACCTGTGTTATCACAGTCCGATGTCGATGAGGATCCGACACGGTCCTCGCGGCGTTTCGGATGCTGTGCGGCCGCGAACGCTCCGTCAGATCCGGTAGGCTGCCCATACGACCATCTAGATGATACTTCTTGGTTATTTATATCTACAACAAAGAAAAATACCTCATTTAGAATATTGACTAGAAAAAAAACACAATAATATTTGGAATACAAGACTTTTTCAAGCCAAACAGTAAGGATAGTTTAATTTCAATAAAGAAAACTCAATTCTCATATACTATCTATTAAAACAACTGTTTACATTAAATCGCATGCCACGTAATTAAAATCAACAAGCCGTATTAATATATAATGTATAAAAGAGAACATGTTGTTTACCACAATAAAATGGAATCCGATGTTATTACTATACTACACTCAATACTATAAGCAAATCTCAGTTTATATTAAAAAGAAAAGATATACATATATTGTTTGGTTTTATTAGTTACTCTATATAATAAAATGATAAAATGCTTGTAATTTCAATTCTTCTACAGGTGTGATCATTACTTCACATAAAATATTTATTTTGAGCAACATGTTAAGTACGCCGCATTATGATGCGTTTTTAAATCAGCACTAATAACCCATATATATACATATATATATAGTAGGATGTTCAAGTAATATATATATTATATACAAAAATATGGAAAACCCCGAAGGATATCTGATGACTGGTATGTTCAGCTTAAAGGGAGAAAAGTTCTCTATAGGGAACTACATATTATTAAAATAAACGAGGCGCAATAGCATAGCTCAAACATTCATTTTCTACTAGATTTATAGTTAACTAAAATATATAAGTAATTCTATATAATATTTTCTCTTGAATACTATTGGATATGTGAATTAATTTTTATTTATTTGGGTAAACTATTTAACTCAAATCGATGTTAAAAAGTATAATCATGAGAATTCATACATTCGCAGTTAGCAGCTTGTAAAAATTACTTAAAAACTATTTAGTATTAATAAGACCAAAAAGAAAAACAAATTCAATTTATACATCCTTGTATATAAAGAGAGCTTTACAATACATTGTAGTTGAATGTATTGACAACAAAGGATAGACGCGATATTTATAGACAATGCATGTCGATAGTGAATTTGATCTGGCTTTGAGATGCATCTTTGTGCTCGCGTATAGTGATAACAAACGGAAGACTTCTACTGATCGATACAAGGTCAAGCTCCAAGGATCTCTAAATCATTTCAAGGCTACTCAGTAATGTCACAGAACATTCGCTAAAAACATATATGTATATATGAAAAAAAAAACAAAGTCTGCCTACAATGCAATATGGCAGACAAGTTTTTTTCTCAAAATACAAAAACAATATCAAACAAGTTTTCAACATTTATTATTCAATGAGAACATTTAAATGCTTAAATTATACTCGTGTCTCGTGCAAACAGTTTTAGACGAATGACTTAAAAAAATATATATACATATATAAATCCAACGCAATAGCATTACAAGCAGGATACATCGCGTATTCAGTTTGAGTATTCCGCAGAAACACATAAAAAAAAATTAATATACCCAAGGTCGTATGTAATTTGAAATTATAGATTATTATTCAACAAAAGATTACCTGTCAATCAAGTTAAGAAGACGTTTGGGAATATTTAATTGCAACCAGAATGATTTATAAATATATTTACACTTTAAAACAATTAGAGAATATACTCAGACACGTTTATTCTTCAGATATGTTAGTTAAAACAACGCGTACATTAAAACACTCTTTTCACAAATTTTATACCGACGTCGAAGCACGAGCCCCTGATATACTTGTGAAAATACTGGGTTCTGAGAGTGAAATTAGATGTACTGGGACCATGAGGGAACCATTACGAAGGATGCTTGCATTCTGTAAATATTTATATATGTATGTATATATATTTGTTTGTAAAATAAAATTTAATATTTTTTTTATTAATTGTGAATGTTATTAAAGTTAAATTATTATACTTAATCCAACGTTATCTATAACTTTGGAAAAAATATTTTTTAATTTCGCATAAATTTTTTTCAAATAATGCATCGTATGGAGACATATTTTTTTGTATTTTTATTAGTAATATAGCATAATTATAGAAGTGATACTTTCGTTTCATCTAAAAGTGAATAACAACGAGTCTTTAAGATCTCTGGCAATGTTTATCGATATATCAAAGGTTTTTTAGTTATTGTATTGTATTTAATAGGTACGCAGTAGACTGTTTTTACATATATAGTATACAGTATGATTGAAAAGAAGTTCAAACGAATCTATATTTAAAAATTAATTTAATCATATTTATTTTTATTCACACTCAAATGATATTATCTTTAAAGGTCATATGTGTTGTCAATTTTATGTTTGTACAATGACGATAGCATTCTTAAACGTGTCATAAAAGCTTCGTTAGTATTGTGATTATTTTGTCCTCTAAATGATGGTCACACTAGTGTTCCAGGCGAGAGGGGAAGAGGGTAGATTTACGCAGGCGCATGGAGACATGGACCAGAACCAGCCAATATTAAACTTGCAATGAAACACGTTCCCAAAACTTAAGGGTCAAATGTTGAGGCTTGTAATAAATACTACATGCTTTATCACCAATCTTACACACATATATCATATGTAAAAGAACATATATATGTATATATCAAATCATATATGTATATTTGTTTGTTAGTTTTATCATTGCATTTGATATGACCTTCCTGGTTGTGTATGTAGCGTGTCAGAAAACCGCGCCCCGTATTATTAAAAACAACATTATAATTACCAACGTTCCCGATAAGTCTTTGTTATATACATATATATATTTACATAATTAAATATGTTATGTAAACAATATGACTTTGCAAAAAAATCTGATTACTTAATGATATAAAGGAGGAAAATTTTCGTATATTTTTATAAAATATACCTAATTTATTATCGTTTATATACGTACATATATTATTATATCAAAATGAATGGTGATAATAAAATTATAATTCACTAAATAGTGATTTTTTTAAGTAAAAGCTTTTAATCTTCTGTTAATAATTTTGCTCTATAATTTAAATGCAACTAAGCACTGCGGTTGCTACGCAAAGGACAAAGGGTGTTTTATTATAAAATCATATTATAAAAGTCCTGACAGATGAAAAACTGTATCGCGTAGGCACCGATGTTAATTAATAAGGCTTCGAGACCTTTGAAAAATACACAAAAGACCAGACCTATTCAGAGGCTTCCCTCTCACAAAGAACGTTATGATTGCTTCAAACAAATCTTTATATAATTCAATTCAAAGTTTTATTACAATATACAAAAATATTACTACAATATTTCTGAGTATCATAGCGTAAAGAGTATTTAAGACTTATTTCTCTAATATAATAATATTATATGAATAAAATCGTTGATAGAAAAACGTGGGAGAGATGGCTGACGCATTATATTGTAATATTTAATGTTTCTATAGACTTCTGTATAATTTATATATATTTATAGTTGTAGGATTTCATAATAAGCCAAAGCAAAAACATTGTCGGGTTACCTAAAAGTTCAAGGAAACAAATAATTCGTTTACAGAATGTAGTTTTTAAATCATAGTAGGTATAATTATTATATTTCATTTATTTAATTTGGTGATAATTCAGAGTTAGGTAAGTATTTTTTTGAGTTGATCGAATGTTCTTATAATTTTATAATCCAAAATTTTTTTCATCGAAAATCATGTTCTAATGGTGACTGGATTTTCTTGCTGCTGCATTGTACCTTCAGAAATAGCCACCAAGCGAAGTACTTCAAGTCACCCTCTGTTCGTGTGTATTTCGAATCGATATTTGTTTCAAACGATCATGGAAATGAAAATTCAAATAAGTTTGAAATCACCAACCAGTCTTGAGCAAGCTTGGTGATTAATGCTCAAACCTTATCCATGTGATAAAGAGACATTTGATCAGCAGTGGGCTCTGATAGGCTGATGACGATCATGGAAATCATCTCCAAAACTTGCTACACATTTGTTCTATACGTCGTGTTTTTGATTAAACCCCTCAAATCCTCAAGTGTATAGCTGTCAAACTTCCGCTACTGCAAAACTTGTTTTCTTAAAATAACTAGTTATTATGCTAAATTTTTGAGTCACGTGTCGCAGCCAAGGTCCACTTGTTAGGGTATAATCTTCGTAATAATATGGTCAGTGTAGCTGAATTTTAAGATTTTGGAAGTATGGTATAAAGTAACTTACTCTTTGTGAACGCTGTTCTAAACTAACCCACAAATAATAAACACTGAGCCTCGCTGTATTTAGTTTAGTTCTGGTTAATCCTGTAAAATGGATTAATCCTTTACGTGTACGAAAGAAAGTCTAAATTGATCGACATCGAAAACAATTCGTACTACGCATAAGCATTTATTTCATAGGATAGCAATGTACTCGTAGCTCGATTAGATTGAGATGAAATATTGTTCTCAATGTCCTGTCTACAGTTCCCTTAGGAATTTCATAATAAAACTATTTTTGCCCCTGACTTCGTCCACCTGAACATCAGAGAGAAATGTATAAAATATGTATATTAAAAGGATACACATAGTACACGTTGTAGACTTGTTATTTTAAATAACCTACACTGCGGCGACTTTTGCAGGGTTGACTTCTGCATCTCATATATCTGTTCCAACAACATAATGCATACAAAAAAAAAAACAATTATCCAATCATTTGTCTAATCGTTTAGGATTATTTCAGTGACATACATACAGCAGAATTATAAAAGTCAGTGGGGGCCTAGTGGTTAAAAGGCCTTCCTCTCATGCATAAGGGCGCGGGTTCGATCCTGGCAAGTACCAATGTCATTTTTCCGAGTGATATGTACTTTCTAAGAGTATTTAGATATCACTGATTGTGACAAAAAAGCCACCGGCCACCGGCCACCTGCCTGACATCCACAGGCAGGTGGCCGGTCGTAAAAACAATTAGCCAAAAGTATTCACAACATGGCAGACCCTGGCTAAAGCTGGGAAATAGCCAGGTAGAAAAAGACATACAATAGAATAATTATATATGTACATATATAATTTTCGTAATAATACGGCTAACATAATATATGAATCACATCTTAGTTTTTATAATAAAAATATTGGTGTTTCAAGAACGGGTTTTGTATTTTTATCAATTTTAGAAACAATATCTACGTTGGCGAATAATCCGCCATAATCTTTTGGTAAATAAAATATCACGGAAAAATAGACATGACTAAGGAGTTTTTTAGTAGGTTCACTGTTAGTTAATTAACTTTTGATTTGTATGAAATATATTAAAAGTTGTATATATTTTTTATAATAACACATGTTTCAAAGTCAGGGTTATGTTATTTATATTTAAAAAATTAATACAAGCACGTGATATTTTAGTTCCACGCGATCTAAACTGAAGCGGTAATTTATTTTTAGTATATTAAATGATTTTTAAGAACTTGTTTTATTATACATATATATTGTACTGTGACCAAACTCTTCACCACACAAAAAATTATCATGATATTCAGAGACATATAATTTATCCTGTTTTTCCATACAATCTATTACAAGTAAATATTTTTTTATGTAAAATCCTTTTTTAACCAAAACATAAAATGTATCATGAAACATTTATGTTTTGGTTTATAAAGTTCAACAGATAACCCACTTATTAAAACGACTTTACAGATATACATCAATTATTATGTAAAAAAATAATTTTTAATATTTATTTCTATATTTTCCTGTATTGTATTCATTTTTAATACAACTTATTGTCACTATACTTATTACTTGGTATATAAGAGCTGACGACAGTTTGATATAAACAAATCAAGCAAAGATGTTATCCAATAACGTTTTAATCGGTGTTTTAGTGTTCTTATATGTTCTTTATTATTTTATTATAAGAAGACTTAATTATTGGAAAAACAGAAATGTGCCACATCCAAAGCCACTTGTACTTTTGGGAAACTACAAGGATCATATCTTCCTACGAAAAAATTTAATTTTTGTTACAGATGAAATATGCAAACAGTTCCCAAATGAGTCCTACATTGGTACTCTTTACGGTACTGAACCCACGCTTATTGTCAAGGATCCTAATTTACTTAAAATAATCATGACGAAGGATTTCTACTACTTCAATGGAAGAGAAGTTACGAATTACAATACTAAAGAAGAACTTACAAACAACATGTTCTTCCACGGCGGTGATAAATGGAAAGTCGTGAGGCAAAATTTAACACCACTCTTTACTTCAATGAAAATGAAGAAAATGTTTCATTTGGTCAAAGATATTGGTGATTCGTTCGAAAAAATTCTAGAAGATGAACTTAAATCGTCTTCAGATCTTGAAATTAAATCTTTTTTAGTCAAATACACACTTGAGTGCATTCTTTCATGTGGTTTCGGTATATCTGGAAAATTGTTAGAGAAGGGGAACAATAAAGACGACAACATTTTCTTCAATATTGGAAGTTCTATCTTCGATTCATCACCGAGTAGAGGAATAAAACAAGTTTTCAGAGCTATGTGGCCGAAAATATTTTACAGCGTAGGATTGAACGTATTTGATCCAAAAATATTTGCAATGTTCAAAAATTTGATAGCCCAAGTCTTCCAGAGTCGCCTCAGCGAGAAATCCAATCGTAATGATTTCGTAGATCTCATTTTGTCATGGAAAAAAGAAAATTACATTTACGGTGATAGCCTGAACCCAAACAGTGAAAAATACAAGAAAATAAGCGTGGAAGTCAACAACGAACTGTTAATACCACAATGCGTTCTATTCTTTGCTGCTGGTTTTGAGACAACGTCCACTACTTTGAGTTTCTTGATGTATGAATTATCTAAGCACAGTGATGTTCAAGACAGGTTGATAGAAGAGGTCGATAATTATCATAAGAAATACAACGGTGTCATTGAATACGAATGTATCGGTGAAATGCCTTATCTTGATGCTTGTATCGATGAAGTACTGAGGCTGTATCCAGTCTTAGGAGTCGTTGCTCGTGAGGTTATGGAAGATTATACATTACCCACAGGATTGAAGTTAGAAAAAGGCAATCGTATACACATTCCACTGTACCACATGCATCGTGATCCAAAGTTCTTCCCAAATCCAGAAGAATTCCGACCTGAAAGATTCTTTGGAGAGGAGAAGAAAAATATCGTCCCCTATTCGTTTATGCCATTCGGTGAAGGACCTAGGATATGCATAGGTAATTATTCTTTTATTTACAAACATCCATAATATTTTCAACATTGGTATTTTGTAGTATCATTAATCATTATTTTTAAATAATTTATACATTTTTTTTTAGTTCGAATACGTAAGTTTTAATCAGTAAATGTTTATAACATAAAACTGACTTTCTTATAGTTTTTTAATATGACAAGACGCTGTTTATAATAATTCAATCACAATTTCTTCTAATCTGTCTATTTGTTTACAGGTCAAAGGTTTGCTAAAATGGTGATGTTCAACCTCGTTCTAAAAATATTCAAGAAATACAGAGTCGAATCAAGTTCGTTGACCCCGAGAAAATTGGAATTTAGCAACATATCCCTCATTACACAATGCACCACGAATATCTGTGTAAAAATAGTTGAACGAACATAAATACGGAAAAACTTTACACTTTATTATTGAAGTCGGAAGAAATAAAAATATAATTTGTTTAAACTATTATATGTTAGCGACAAGTAATATTATTACTAAATCTATGTCTATTTCGCGGGGCCGTAAGTCTGCTAGGAACTCCTACGCTTTATCGACTGTTTTCCTTGAACTTGCCTGTGTTAAATTGTCTGGAAACAATTCACACTTATAAAAATTATATATATGTATCTTTTAATTATTTAAACTTAATATTATATTCAGCCGCTGCGAATGTGTTATTTGAAAACAATTTTAAATTATTTGTATAAGAACAATATACATGTACATTTTATTTCAATTTACTTGTGTTATTATTATAAATTAAACTTTTAATAATCCTATACTTTACATGCTTTTCTACTAATAAAAATTCATTAACTATTTAATTTTGCCTTCGTATTTTGTTAAAGTTAAGTATCTCTAGAATGTAATTGAATTAAGTATAGTTGTAGAAGCTACAAATGTATTTCTGAAGTGTTTTAATGGAATTAATTTAAAAATTATTAAGTTTCTTACCAAAGAACTTAGTATGTAACTTATACAGAGTAATATGGTGTTTTCTTCTAAACTTATAAATTGTCACTTGATAAGTATATGAGAATATAATATATACAGATAAAATATTTAAACAATGGTTTTATTTTCCCAGCAAACGGCATCTCGCAAGCAACAAAAAATACATGTACAAAATTAAAAAATTAAGCCATAAAACGGTTCTAATCAGTTTGTATGTCTGTCAGATAACTACGTTTATTTTTAGCATAACTAAGCAAAAAGTTTTTATATAAAAACATGACCTTCTCAATTCCGTGGCAAAAATTTTAAATATATCCCTCCAAGCGGCTGTGTAGTTATTGCTCTAGGTTCGAAATCAAACGATTTTGGCGTTCTGTCTGTAGTCTCGACGTGGTAGTTTTTGAATATTGCAAGTAACGCTGTTACCATGGGCATCTTTGCGAAACGCATTCCTGAAACATAAACTTGGTTTAATATGAAAAATATACGTTAATTGAAAGGTAATATCCTTTCCATAATAGTTGTTTTTTAGTACGATTATAAATATGTATAAATGAAATATAATTTATTCTAATGTTAACCAGTATTCATTTAAATGAAACTAATATTATTCGGATTACCACGCGTATTTTATAATAAAAAAAACTACATACTCCCGACGTTTCGGTTACTTTTCAGCAACCGTGATCACGGGCAGACGATATGACTGAAACGTCGGGAATATGTAGTTTTTTAAAATAATGAAAAACGCGTAGTAATCCAAATAATATTACTTTTATTTATTCTTATGTTATAATAATAATAATCAATATAAATGATGGATGAATTACCAATACATATCCTCGGTCCTTCACCGAATGGTAAATACGTAAATGGTTTAATATTCTTCTTTTCATCACCCAAGAACCGTTCTGGGCGAAATTCTTCTGGATTCTGGAAATATATTGGGTTCATCTGATTGTGATATACAGGTATATGAATGCGAGTGCCTTTTTCTACTAGGAGTCCATTGGGAAATGTGTAATCTTCAAACACCTCTCTCGTGATCACACCTAAGACCGGGTAAAGCCTTAATGTTTCGCTTATACAGGCTTGTAGGTAAGGCATTTCGTTTATAGCTTCGAATTCTATTTTACCATCGTGTCTCTCATAATACTCGTCTATTTCCTCAATGACCCGTATTTGCGCATCTTGGTGCTTAGCTAACTCATAAAGGATAAAGCTTGTTGTTGTAGCTGTCGTTTCATAGCCAGCCGCGAAGAACATAACACATTGTGAAACGAGGCATTCATCGTCTACTTTTATTTCTACTAGTGATTTCTCATCCTTTTTATTATTGCTCACGCTATCTCCAAATATAAAGTCCTTTTTAGTCCAATTCAGCAGGAGATCGATGAAGTCATGTCTACCAGACTCTTTATAGTTCCGTGTTTTAAAAACGTCTATAAGCAAATTATGGAAGAATTCATTTATATCTTCAGAAAACATTTTTAACTGCAGTGAATAAAATATCGAAGGCCACATAGCTCGTGCCACCATCTTAAACCCTCTGGACGTTGAGACATCAAATATTTTATTCCCCATGATGGTAAATGGATTATTATCTGTTTTTTTGTCAAGGGTTCCTGTGTTTACTCCAAACACACAATTTCCTATACAATCCATCGTGTATTTAGCCAGAAGGGACCTGACTTCAATCACATTGGAATTTTGTATTTCTGACCGCATATATTCTGTGATCGTTTTGGAACATACTTCGATCAAATAGAACATATTTTTTAATTTCTTGGATGAGAACATTGGACTCAGGTTCTGTCTGAGCACCTTCCATCTGTCTCCTCCGGTGAAGAACATGTTCTGTGTTATGACTTCTCTGTGAGTGTGATCTGAGACCTCCCTCAGATTGAAATAGTAAAAGTCTTTTGATAATATCAGTTTTATCAGTTCTGGATCCTTAACTATAAGGGCAGGATCACTGCCGTAGTATACTCCCACGTACGGTTCATTTGGAAATTTTTTACAAATTTCGTGAGCGACTTTGGGTGCACATTTCTTAAATAACACATACTCTTTATAATTTCCAAAAATAGTTTCTGGTTTCAAATGGGGAACGCCTTTTTTCTTCCAATAATTATGTTTTCTTGTTAAACTGTAATATGCTAAATACAATACCAAAATGAAAAACGTTACTGTTAGGCATAGAGCTAACATTTTTACGAGTTATGATGTATTTGAGTGTGTAGGTCCTTTTTAAAAGAACATAATTTGCTAGTCTCATTATGTAGTAGGTTAACCATTTTCATTTAAATAAATAACAGAGAATATTTGTACAACATAAACACACTATCAAAACAGTACAATGTCTGTCTGCAACTATTATGAAATTATTGTTACCTTAGCATAGGACACACACTAATATTATATTTAATAAAATAATGATACATTGTAGAGAAAAACAACCATATATATTAATATAATGGGCCTATTAAACGTCTATACTATATATTATATTCTAGGAAACGTTTAACAATGCATTTGTTTGAGATATTTTAAATCATTTCTAATTTAGTAAGAAGTTAAAGGCATAAAAACGTGGGAAGTTTTAAGAACACCGTAGAACTTAATGGTACCGGAAAATCTGTTAAGTATTTCGTAAAATACTGTAACGATATTTTCAATCAATTCTTATATTAATTTTATATAGTAAACAAGTAATTTTAATGAATATTCACAAATGTATGTATGAATATTTTTTAAAATTATACCTGCTCTATTTAGGCAATGATTCTGAAATCGTTTATCTGTCTTAAATAAATATTTAAAAACTTGTGTAGTCTACGATTTTTACATAGTTCACTTCACTTTTTATATGAGGGAATTATAAAAAATGGTAAATAATTTATTATATATATTAGTCAGTGGAGGCCTAGTGGTTAAAGGGCCCGCCTATCGAGCACGAGGGCGCGGGTTCGATCCTGGCAAGTACCAATGTGATTTTTTCGAATCATGTGTACTTTCTAAGAGTATTTAAGACACCACTGACAGTCTTGAGCAAGCGTGGTCATTAATTAACTTTCTCCATGTGAGAAAGAGGCCTTTGTTCAGCAGTGGGCTCTGATAGGCTGATGATATACCTATTTATTGTTAAGTTTAAAGTTACAGATATTCACATTGCGAGATTCTATTATTTTTATATTTATTTTATATTTAAAATATTAGCTAAAACTGTATTTTGAACGTATGTATATATGTGATATTAGTTATGTTATAGAGTAGTTGAAATTAATAAATGATACTCAGAGCAAAGTAGACAAAGTAGTGTCTGTTTTTAAAAGTACTGTCCATAGAAATTTATATTTTAATCAATTTCTCCGATTCCAGAAACTACATACATATGTAATTCTGCATTATTAATAAAAGTCTAAGTTTACTTTTTGTTTCTTGTAAAAAAGTATTAAAATATTATGTAACAGAAAATTATTTCATATAACATATAAGATTGTTAACATAATAAATATAGCATTTGAAAATAATATTTATTATGAACTCATTGCTATAAAAATGAATAAGGTAAATCAAACACAACATAAAATCGGTATATAAAATATATTAAATCATGTATTTTCTTTCTTTCTTGTCAAAATCTTTTAATTAATTTTACGTAAATATCATCATTGGTCTGTGTCACAATGGACACATCGGTGAGGTCCAGTTTCTTTGGAGTTAAAGAGCTTTCTTCTAATTTACAGTTCTTAAATATTTTCAGCACTATATTGTGCGTCACCATTTTAGAAAATCTTTGACCTGAAAAATAAAGATTATTCATTATCATATTTAAATCATTATCGATACAGATATCGTTAAACTACAAACACAATCTATATGAAAGAAAGGTCGTAGAGATTGGGACAAGTCCTTCTATGATTTATTGAGAGTTTACGAGGATTTAAGTATAAAATAGTCACCTATGCATATCCTAGGTCCTTCACCGAACGGCATGAACGAATATGGCACGACCTTCTTCTTTTCTTCCCCAAAGAATCTTTCAGGACGGAATTCTTCTGGATTTGGGAAGTACTTTGGATCGCGATGCAGGTGGTACAATGGAATGTGTATACGATTGCCTTTTTCTAACTTCAATCCTGTGGGTAAAGTATAATCTTCCATAACCTCACGAGTCAGTACACTCAAGACTGGATACAGCCTCAGCACTTCATCGATACAAGCATCAAGAAAAGGCATTTCACCGATACATTCGTATTCAATGACACCGTTGTGTTTCTTATAATAATTATCGACCTCTTCTATTAATTTCTCTTGAAGATCACTTCGCTTAGAGAGTTCGTACATCAAGAAACTCAGAGTAGCTGACGTCGTTTCAAAACCAGCTCCGTAGAACAGAATGCATTGCGGTATAAGCAGTGCATCAGTAACGTCAAGGCTAATTTTCTTATCACATCTTGGATCTAAGCTATCACCGTATATATGCTTCTCATTTTTCCACGACAAAATGAGATCGACAAAGTCGTTACGATTCGAAGTTTTGTTAAGACGACTTTGGAAAACGTTTGTTATCAAATTATTAAAAACCGGAGCAACTTTAGGATCGAATAAATTGAAACCCAAAGTGTAAAAAATCTTCGGCCAAATAGATCTTATAATATTTTTGAAATGTCTCGTTTTTGAGTTATCGAATAGGCTGTTGCCGACGTTAATGAAAATACTATCGTTTCCTTCGCTTTGCAATAATTCCGCTGATATACCAAAACCACAAGATAATATGCATTCCAAAGTGTATTTGACCATCAGTGACTTAATTTCGGTTTCCGAAGACGACTCAGCTTTAGCTTGTAACACTTTTTCAAATGAATCACCAATATCTTTTATCAAATGAAACATTTGCTTCATTTTCATCGAAGTAAAGAGTGGTGTTAAATTTTGCCTCACGACTTTCCATTTGTCACCGCCGTGGAAGAACATGTTATTTGTTACAGTTTCTTTATCATTATAATTCGTAATTTCTCTTCCACTGAAGAAGTAGAAATCCTTCGTCATTATTATTTTCAGTAAATTAGGATCCTTGACAATAAGTGTCGGTTCAGTACCGTACAGAGTACCAATGTAGGACTCCTTAGGAAACTGTTTGCATATTTCATCAGTAAGAAATAATAATTTCTTTCTGAGTAAGATATATTCCTTGTAATTTCCAAAAAAAGGTAGCGGCTTCAAGTACGGCACATTTCTGTTCTTCCAATAATTAAGTCTTCTCACAACAAAATAATAAAATGCAAAGAAAAATGATAAAATAACTAACAACAGCGTGTTAAACCACATTTTTATTGTGATCCCGTCTTAAGTAACGACAGAGCTCTTATATATATAATATTTTTATCATAGGGTGACAACGATGTTAACTTTTGTAGAAAATATCCTAAAAGAATTACAATAGAGTAACACACAATTTTTTTTAACATAACTCTGTTTTTATAAGTAAATAATATATTATTGTATAAATTTAAGTGCAAAAAAAAACCGGTGTTTTAATGTGTGAGTAAAAAGTATATAGTAAATTAATATTATAAGTGATATTCCTGTAAATTACCAAAATTTTAAAAATACACATAATTTTACCTAAACGCCGTTGTAAGCCTTATTCCATTTTGATTTTCAATTTAATTAATGGACAACCTACTAACTGCTTTTGAGCACATGCTTAAACTTGAATAAAAAAGTGGGCATAATTAATAGCATGACCTCCAAAAATAACTTTTGTGTTCTCATAAAATATAAATAAAATTTCAAGGGTCTATATTTTGGATAAAAATATGTTTAACATACAGGCAATTTAAACTAGAATATTTAAAACATAAAAAATACTGCAATATAGCTAGCGAATGTATTGAACACTTATCTTTTTAAGGGATTAATAATTTATATTTTAAAATTTTCAAAGATTATCATTTACCTCTGTCTGATAACGAAATGACCTTGTAAATATAAGAAGCGTTGATAAAGACATAAAGACAAAAAAGTGATATCTATTTAAAAAAGGGCATTATTAATATAGCAAATCCTAATATATGTATGTCATTTATAAACAAAAAGTTTTCTCTTATAAACGACGCTTGATGATACATTGAGAAAAGATACAAAGAAAAAATTAACATAATTATATATTTGTCAAAGAAAATCTTACATTTTTAATGAATTTAACATAACATCCGTATATAAAGACTTAAGATTCGAATCGGATTATTTCTGCTCACAAAGCGTTTTGGGGGCTAATTTAATTAGGATGATTTGTAAATACTGAATATGTTATATCACTTCTTGGCCTCTGATTGACCTTGTATTAGCAGCACGTCAGAATTCACAACATAGCAACCTGTACAATACAGTAAGTATTCGTACAGTACATATTGGGTTGTATCAACAACAAAGTTGCCAAATAAATCATAAAAAAAATCGTAGATTTGATATTTAAAAGTAATTTAACTGTACTATAAAGTTGAAGAAACATAGTTTTAGTTTTTTTATCACACAACAACTAGCGTAGTCATATATTATTTTTAGTTTTTTCTATATTATTCAATTAATTGAAATCCTTATTTACATTATGAGGCTTGGAAGCTACAGACACAAATAATCGGTAGGTATGTGTGATTTTTAGTGCTATTTATAATCTCATTTAAATAACCAGGTATTTATAAATTCTGATTTCGTACGATATTTAGCAGGGAGACTTATATCTTAAACGTCTTCAGTTGAGGTCAAAAATCTTACTTATGTATATACATATAAAGCTATTTGTGTGTTCGTCACGTGCTCGATAACAAGATTCTACGCTATAGGAAATCTTGAAGTTAATATAATAGGTAATGACGGCAATTTGTGGATGCTAATATTAAAATAAGTGGATTACAGAACTCTAAATGATCCTGTAATGCCATAGAATTACCTGATACAGGACAAAATTGTGTGATACGACTTTCTAAAGATGTTAAATGTAACTGAAAATCATTGTTTATTGTATAACCGGCTTAGGTAATTAAAGTAATCGTTATAGTCTGGTAGTTTTTTTTATTTTTGTTTGAATTGTTTGTAACTGTTAGCCCTAATGGCTTTGATAGCATTACCGTCAGAGAATCTGGTAGTAGTCCTGGGTATTGGAATATTCCAGGGGATATCATAAACCTTTTCGACTTCTAAGATCATGACTTAATTAGGAGTTTAGCGAATCCAAATTCAGAGTTTTAAACGGCTTTTTCCCATAAATCTTCCATTATTTATATTAACGTAGGTTATTAAATAAAAAAAGGACACAGAATGTAAAGAATAAGTTTGTTCAACTTATTATCTTATTTGGTTGACATGAATTTTGATTATCTAGTTTCTTTTGAAGCACAACAAAGCAGCAGAAGGAATCACTCCATCAATTTTTACATTAAGTCATTACCATATGACACAGCCCTTAATCTTTATTGGTTATTTTAAATATGGCCTTCATACGTGCAAATACGTGTATAATATATTCTGCCATTGTCTTGTAGAATGACAGAGACACTTGATTAAGTTATGAATGTAATAAAATTTAACAGCTTCGACTGAACAATTAGGAAGTGCCCTTAATCCCTACTAATATTATAAATGCGAAAGTAACTCTGTCTGTCTGTCTGTCACGCCTAAACCACTGAACTGATTTTAATGGAATTTGGTACAGAGATGGAGTTGACCTTGAGACAGAACATAGGATAGTTTTTAACCAAGACTTTTGAAAAGTTCTCTTGGAAACCGAACTCCACGCGGGCGAAGCTGCAGGCGGAAAGATAGTCTTATATAATGAAAAAAAGGTTTTATTTCTATGCGATTTCTATGTACTGACATGGTCATGACAATCTTTTATCCCCTTAGTTTTTTATGCGTGGGGAAATGCTTAATACTCTCTTGCTTGGGGAGGAAAACAAGGAGAGTTAGGTCGGATTCTAGTCCTGAAAATGACGCACTACCGACTAAAACCACACGAGTGTTCCATTCGCTTCTGATAAGCGGTAAACCAAAGTTCCCATAAGGCGATTTTGATGTGGAACAATCTCTTAACCTATTGTATTTCATAGTCCATCGAATGAAAGTCGAATATTGATTAATTATATTCAATAAAGCAGAAACACTATCATAAATAGACATCATAATTATTAATTATCAATCTAATTATGTAATTATAATATATCAATTAAAATTAATATTAAGATACAGGTGAAGTGTTTAAGTGGATTGAGTAGTTGATAATGAATATCAATAAATTAGATTTGATAGAAGCTTAAACAGTGCAGCAAAATTTTAGGCGTTACGTAAGAATAAGGATAATTTTAATAATTACTTATGTCAACAATATTGTCTTTTTAAAGGCTTCATTTTATCATATATGTATATACCTGGTGGTAGTTTACTTGAGCTGCAACTTTGTTGTTTCCGCAATTATTATAATTCTATATATTATATATCCTGTTAAGTTATTCTATGTACAATTATATGTTATTTGTATATTAAAAGTATAAAACTTCTTGACTTTGAAATGTACTTTTTCTAGTATATTTATTATGTCGACAATATAAAATTTATATATAATTTCTGAATAAATCTTTAAGTACAAATCTTAATAAGAGGTTTCTTAAACAAAATTTAATGACACATTATTTTTTTGTATTAAAAACATTTTCACATATTCGTGATATATTTTACGGTTATTTTAATATAAAATCAATTAGATTTCTAAGTTACCTTACACAGGCTTTGTTTGAACAAATGCTTGAGCATGCATATTTATAAATACTGTCAATATAATTATGTACCTATAAAATGTTGTATTCTTTTAATACAGTTTAATGAAATACAATTTTAATTTGTACATTAATTGTATCGGTTCTATCACCACAATAAGTGGATGTCATCAATTATTGCATTTATATAAAATTATTGCTAGCCACAATTATAGTTATAAGTAAAACGAAATCAAAACTAATTTAAAGGGAGAATATAACTAATTTGAATTTTGGTATAAATATGCCAAAAGTTGGTTCAGTTGAAAAATAAAAGATCTTTAATAAATACTATTATATCTAGAAGGATTGATGTTTTATTTTGAAATAAGCTACTGACGTTTTTCTTCAGAAACAAAGAATTCATATTAAATCTGATAAATCCTTCGTATTACCTCCACACAGTACTCAAGATTATTATTTGTCCCACAAATAAAAACGTTGACATTGGCAAAAAAATTCGACAGCTATAAATAATGTGTTAAATTTTACATTCAGTTCGATTTAAATCTAGATAAAAATGATTTAAAATTATGTAATGGATTATGTCATGTTGTGTTTAAAAATAAATTTTATAAGCTTTTATTGTTTCATTGGATAACGTTATCGCCTTTCAGAAATATGTGAGGTCAATCCACATTTTTATTGTAAATAAATGGAAGTATATTGTCATTATTTTTAGTTGCAAGGATCAAAATATTAAATAAGAAGAACATATAAATTATAATATAAAGTTGAAGTACTGAAGTACAAAACAATTTTTCTAAGATTTCTTAAACTAGTATTAGGTATTATTTGTAATAAAAATAAGATTATTTTGTTCAACGCTAAGTAAGATCGTGTTAATATTCCTTTGAGGTCTATTCTATCAGAATTTTGTAAAAAAAATACAATTTTTTCTAACACTCACATTCAATCATGACTATGAAAATGCATGTGATTTAAAAATAAAACAAAAAAATCATAAGCATTATTAACCGCTACATGAATATAAATAATTATGTTTATTATAAAATTTCATTATTTAAAAGTAGTAATTTCCACATTCAGTCACAAGCTTCCAAATCCTCTCGATGTTGTCGATTCAAAGCGTGACGTTATCCTCGCCTACGCCTCGCCTACATTTCACTAGGTCATTTCTATGAATATTTGCTAGTTTTACTCGTGTTTAAGATAAAACATAAGCTTTCTTGGAAAATTATTTACTGAAAACATTAAATTTTCGTGAAAAAATACTTCCCAGAACTACTGAAAGTACTTTTTACAGTCACAGTCAGATAATCCAGCTAATAAAGACAACGTAGTTTGCTAATAATTCTGATTTTATATCTGCTGAAGTAAAAAAAGTAAAAGTCGCATAGCATACATAGAATGAATAAAAAGAAAATATATTCCCCCGTATATATTCCCCCATAAAAAGTTTCTATTAAATGTTTATCATAAGAGCCAGTAATTTGAATCTACATCAACAAAATATTGAGGTCGTAACCGCTGACATGTGTCGATATGATTTTAAAACTGATGGTATCTTTGCGCTAACGAGATGAATCAATACAGTCTAGACTAAGCACCGAACAGTCTTAGTCTCGCGAAGATTTTGATTTAAATGATTCTAAGCGAATTGATTAAACAATATATCTTGAGATTTTCGCGAGTATTCATTTAAATGAAACTAATATTTTTCGCATGTAAATAAAAATCGCGTAGTACATCCGAAAAATATTGGTTTCATTTAAATATATATCTTGTTTATTATGTTTTGAAATGGTGATATAAATAAGCGGGGTTATTGTACGTTATAAAATAATAATATAACCAAGATATTATAAACAAATAAGTTTGAGTAAAGTATAATATTTCATATAAAGATATTTGCTAAGCAAATAGGCATGCAATTAAACACAAAGCAATCAAGAATTTTATTGATTCAAAATAAATAAGTATAAAGGTATAAAAAAATCTATATTTTAAAATGTATACGATTGAAGCTTACTAATTTAATTTCATGATATATTGAAAATTTAAATTATATGAGTAATTATTTTAAGTAATCTATCTACACTATTCAACTATTCAATTTTATTGTGCCAAGTTTCAAATGTATAACAAATTTGGCATTTCTCTACGTCACTCCAGCTATCTTACTTTCTAGGAATAAATTTTAGGAATATTCCTCCTAGCGCTTGCGTCACGAATGTTCTTGGTTGAAATTTATATGACATCGGAGTTCTTGGATCCAACTCGAGTTCATAATTCTTAAATATCGTAAGTAGCCCGGCGATCATAGGCATCTTTGAAAACCTTTTTCCTGGAAAAATTTTAAGGGTATATTAATCAAGTTACTTTTACTAATAATGAAAACGAGAAAATAACTTTTTTGGGTCTCAATTTCATTGTTTTGTGGAACATCACATAGCTACGCAGTTTTTTATTTTCATACTGTACGATCATTATAAAACAGTTTTAAATCGATTTGCCTGCTTTTGTTCGAAATAAAAACGAATACAATAAAACTTATGTAGTTTAAATAATAGTGAAAAATATTTTTTACTTATTAAGCCTAAATAAATTATATAAATTGCTTACCTAGGCATACTCTAGGTCCTTCTCCGAATGGCATATATGTAAAAGGCGTAATAACGTGTTTTCCTTCGCCATAAAAACGTTCTGGCAGCCATCTCTCCGGTTCTGAGTAATATTTTGGGTCATGTTGTATATGATAGACTGGTATGTGGATCCGGGTACCTTTAGGTAAGTGGAGTCCGGTCGGCAGAGTGTAATCTTCAACTGACTCTCTCGTGAGAAGACCCAAGACAGGATAGAATCTAAGCGTCTCTTCTATACAAGCTTGCAGATAAGGCATTTCATTTATAGCTTCGAATTCTATTTTACCATTGTGTCTCTTATAATACTCGTCTACTTCTTCAATAACTCGCGCCTGAACGTCTTTGTTCTTAGCTAATTCGTACAAGAGTAAACTAGTTGTCGACGCCGTCGTCTCGTAGCCAGCAGCGAAAAGCAAAGCGCATTGTCCAATAATCAAATCTTCGTCGATATCTAGTTGTATAGTTTTCTTCTCTCCAGTCTTCATGTTGCTAACACTATCGCCACACAAAAAGTCTTTCTGTTTCCAATTCAGTAATAAATCAACAAAATCGTGCCTACCGGACTCTTTATGGTCGCGACTCTCAAAAACTCCAATTAGAAGATTGCTGAAAAAATTATTGACATAGTTAGGAAACAGTTTCAAACCTATTCCGTAGAATATCGATGGCCACATGGCGCGAGTGACCATTTTGAATCCTCCATAACTTGTAATATCAAATAATTGTGCGCCAATAATTGTAAATGGATTTTTATGATAATCTTTTCCAAGTGTGCCTGTGTTCACTCCAAATGCACAAGATCCGATGCAATCCATTGTATATCTCGACAAAAGAGATTTGACTTCCAAGGTTCTGGTTTCATTCATTTCTTCATTGATAGTAGCTTCCATGGATTTAGCACAGTTTTCGATGATATAAAACATGCTTTTTAATTTGATGGACGAAAAAAGGGGACTCAAATTCTGTCTTATAACCCTCCATCTGTCTCCACCTCCGAAGAACAGATTCTGAGTAACCGGTTCTTTATGAATGAAATCAGCGACCTCCCTCATGTTGAAGTAGTAGAAATCCTTTGATAATATAAGCTTTATCAGTTCGGGGTCCTTAACCATTAGAGCGGGATCGCTTCCATAATAGACCCCAAAGTAGGGCTCATCCGAAAATTTCTTACATAACTCATCCGCCACTTCCAATGCAGGTTTACGTAGAAAAATGTAATCCAGATAATTACCGAAAATTAAAAACGGCTTTACGTAGGGAACGTTTTTCTCCTTCCAATAATCATATTTCTTTGTTAAATAATAATATAATAAACAAAGTATTGTCGCGATAAATATTATAAACGTGTAAAAGGGTAACATCACGAGCGACTCGGTTCACTGCGTGATAATGATATGTGTTGACAAACTGATGCTGTTATATAGAGTAACAGTATGAAAACCATGTTTTACATAAAACAAATATTTTACTCAGACGAAATTACGACGAGAACAAATCAGGCAGGATTCTTTTTTGATCGAAAAAAGATGCTTTTAAAAAGGTGAGTCTGAAATAAAATTAACCTTAATTGGTAATGTATACAATCAAACACTTTATGATTTATAGATTTTCATTATTTTTTAATGAAACAAAGAATATAAATTATATAAAATGTTTACAAACTAATTATTGATCGTGGCCACCCTATTCATTAATGACGATATTCATTATAGTCTTAGATAAAGTATGATTTTATTGTATTTATGTTTAAATACAATATATGTAAATTTAGAAACGATAAAATGTAAATGCATACATAACAATACAGCTGACTTTAATTGTACTTTGTCTGAGAGATGCGCTTCGAGTGATATATTACATTTTTGTTTTTTACAATCCTGATTCAATACACAAATTTTTAATGGCGCTTGTCTTGGTACATTTTTTAACGGACCTTACAAAGTCGCATATTAATAATTTAATAATCATAGTTTAACAAATAGTCTTAATTCTATTAAAAATTAACAACAATAACCGAAAAATGGTTACAGTTTGACCGAATTTCTTAGCTTTTCTCAATATTTAGGATTAGATAGAATTTTTTTCTGATCCTTCTCTTGATCATCCCATTTCGGTTTAACGTTGATTTCTGGTACACCCTGTATTAAGCAGATTTCTTTTTTTATAAATATTATATTAAAGTTTCGCCTCCGGTAAACTTATTATCGTATACTCCACGTATTAATTGCGTTTCCAGGCACCGTGTTCATGGGAAAATGGATGATGGAGATATTGATTTATTATTATAGGTTAACCGATTAAAGGCGAGGTAACGCGGTCATCAGGTAATGGGGTAATAAGTTTTATAGGTTACCGAGAGCTTTTAATATATTCTGAAAATGTTCGAGGTAAATAAATTCAATATATAAAAATATATCATGTTATTTTTGATTCGGTTTGATAAATAAAGCTTTTTCTCTTTCGTATGCTGTAAAAGTTAGAATTGAAACAACTGTTTAACTGTTCTTTTCTTTATTAGGCTTAAAGGAATTTCTTTAGTTCTCGTGAGAAAATACGAGTAATATGGATACCAGATTTTCTTTTATTTTTTATATAGTTTCATATCATGGCATTCAATAGACTTAAATTTTAAGAACTTAAGTCACCGCTAAGTAATATTATAAATAAATTTAAGTAAAAAAAGTTTTTCAAATTCGACTTAAATATTGTTTGTCTCGGTATTTGAATTTCGTAGTATTATTTAAAATAAATGTATTGACTAAGCAGATCTAAATATATTTAAAGTAAATTAAAATATAAGACAAAATATTTTAGTACCATGTACATTGGAGAAAAACAATAACGAATAAAAACTATATGTATATAAATATTATAATAGGTGATGTCATACATACATAACAATTTCATAAATAAAAATTATACTTACTAAAGATATAAAAACAAAATTTTATTGTCTACACAGATATAAGCATCCCTACTAATATTATAAATGCGAAAGTAACTCTGTCTGTCTTTTACGCTTTCACGCCTAAACCACTGAACGGATTTTAATGAAATTTGGCACGGAGATGGAGTCAACCTTGAGAAAGAACATAGGATAGTTTTTATCCCAGACTTTGGAAAGGTTCTCTTGGGGACGCGATATAACCGAACTCCACGCGGGCGAAGCTGCAGGCGGAGAGATAGTCCTTACATAAAAGAGAAGAAAATTAATTCGTCTGATTATTGTATTCAGTCGTACTTTGTATATATTTTGTAGTTAAAACTAAAATGAGGTTACAGCTGTAACTTCTTTATCATTTGATATGACCGTTATAAATAAAAATGTATTATTAATATTATATGTAGGTTGACAAAAACTAAACGGGGCAAGTGTCAAGAACAGATAATTTTAACAACATTAAAATGAATACATTAAAAAATATTTGAGAATACTTCACGGCTAGCTCTGAAAATTTTTATTAATTAATTATGTTACTTATATATTTCGATAGCTGAAATAAAACTTTCAAATCATTACAACTACATTCATTCCTATACAAATGTCTCTTATTTCATTTTCTATGCGAAATAATCTACACACACATTGCATTACAATCACATTGTAATGTTGTATTTCTGTCCGCATATATTCTGTGATCGTTTTGGAACATACTTCGATTAAATCGAACATATTTTTTAATTTCTTGGATGAGAACATTGGACTCAGGTTCTGTCTGAGCACCTTCCATCTGTCTCCTCCAGTGAAGAACATGTTCTGTGTTATGACTTCTTTGTGAGTGTGTTCTGAGACCTCCCTCAGATTGAAATAGTAAAAGTCTTTTGATAATATCAGTTTTATCAGTTCTGGATCCTTTACTATAATGGCAGGATCACTGCAGTAGTATACTCACATATTCAACGTTTCAATTAGTAAATATAATTTAATATATAATAAAATATTACAATATTTACGTAAACAACTATACAGACATACTTCTATGCTACTGTTCTTTAGTTGCAGTGACGAAGATAAAATACGAGCAGAAGTATATATCTATATATATTGACCAGTATTAAGTTTAATTATTATTAAACTTTTCCATATAAATGTATTGTAAAGAATATTTCATCTAACTACATGTTGTTTTGAAGTACTTAATCGTTTCATTGTTTGATATTAATTATTTGCTATGTTATAAAATATTATGTACAAAAGAATAAGACTCTATGATGGATAATTGTCATTTTATTAAGATACTCGTAGTTTATATTACAATAAATCTAATATTATATGAAAATACTCTATGATAATATAAAACAAATTAAATGTATATACAGGGTGACTGGTGAATTACTATCGATATTTGAGGACGTGATATTTGACGATCATATATGACAAAACAAAAATTAATATAACATAAATATTAATAAACTTCTAAGTAAAGTTAACCAAAAGTTATGTAATTAATTACGCATCGTATGAACACCCTACAGATTAGGTATACACACACACACACACTCGCGCGCGGCGGCGTGTTGTTGTATCAGCACGCCGCCGCACGCGTCCACACTTGGAAGCCTTGGAACGTGTACACACTTTATTTATTTATACGGAAATTTGGTCAAAAATTAAGTACCTATTTTTTTTACATAATTCGAATGAGAATCGTGTACCGAGTATTCTCCTTAAATATTGATAGTAATTCACCAGTCACCCTGTATACATATATGTGTGTGTTAAGTTGGCGTGTGTATGCTTCAAAAACACGTTTGACAACGCTTCAGCTGAAATTTTGACGCGATATACAACACGCTTCAAGGATTGTTTTCATTTATTTTTCTCGATACTAACATAACCCAAACTCCGCAATTGACCAGCCAAAACTCTGCAACAGCACACGACTAGCAGTTAAAAAATAATGAACAACATATTGGAAGCAACGATTTAGATGGACCTTTCAATGATGAAAATGTCCTCGCTCCTCGAATTCTCATCATCCCGACCGATAAACAATTTCAATTTAAAAGATAGTAATTCCCAATTCGATTGGCTTTCGAGGTCACAATTAACAGTTGAAGGTCAACCTTTAAAAATTGGTCTAGATTTGGGTGATATTGCTTTTCACATGGACAATTTTGTTGCGTGTTCCCGTATTGGAAAAAAAGCCTCAATATGTACACAGAAATGGGAAAACTAACAAGTATTGATCAAATAAACTTCAATAAAACGTATGCTATTTTTGTTGTTCGTTTCATATAACCACAGCGAAGCGTGGCAGGCACTGCCAGTATATACTTTTTTTTATTATTTAGATATATGTATTTCTGTATGATTTTTGACATTTTTATCAGCCTTTAATTGCAGGACATCTGTAATAAAACTTAATAAAAATCCACTTAAATCTTTTCTTGTTTTTGAACAAAAAAAGTTACTGTGTCCACGATAACATTATTGCAAATCTTTTTAGTAAATGATAAATATATTTTTATATAGCAATAAAATTAAATATAAATGATTATAATGTATTATTATCTATAAAGCACATAATTAAGTGTGGCACCGTAGCAAGTAATATAGTGTGTGGTTATAAATAATTAATTCACCACATCATGTATGAACAACGCCTGATTTAATATTTAGATCAATGTACCGACGGCGAGTCATTCATCCGTTTATTGATGTTTAAACATCTATTTTTAAATATAAGTATTACAACAATAATGTTATACCATTTTTATAATCTTTTTTATATATATAATAAATTAAAATAAAATATGTGCATGTAAGTATGTATTTAATTATCAAGAGATACTTAAAGTAACACACACTTATTCTCAAGAAGGTTTTCGTTGAAATGAATAATTTTGTAATATATCGATACTTTAATAATGATTCAATTTTATTACTACGTTGTTGATATAAAAAAATCTTGAATAATGAACGTTCACCGATTTCTAAGAACGGAAAGCTTTTATTTCTTTGTGCTATATATCCCAATTAAAATAAAGTCTCCTCCTCCTACAGAAAAAAAATAGCAATAACGTAGGCGGAAAATGTAAATATTTTTCTTAGTCAGGAGTATTCGTTATTTAAAAGGACATACCCTTTCTATTTTTATTCATGCCCTTGTCCATGCAAATCATTCTATTAAAAATGATCTATCTTAAAACGACACTAGAGATATTACAGCTTCCATTGTTTGTTTAACAA